TCTCATCGATTAGTCCAGATAGATTACTTGTTTTTTTTTAAAAAAAGAAAGAAGGAAAGAGCAAGAGAGAGAGAGAGAGGGAGAGAAGGGGAGGGAGGGGGGAAAAGCTAAACTAAAAGAGTGGCTATACCCTTACTTTTTGAAAGTACACTCTACTCTTGTATGGCAATTTAAATAGAACCGGCTTAAGTATTACACATGCAAAGAAAAGTATGAAATATTCATTAATAATAATAGAATTACCTTTTACACGCCCTTTTCCTATTCCAGTTAAGAAAAAAAATATTGCCTGACTATGCTTTTCATTATATATTACACATTACATATACAAGATATATAATCAGACAAAACAGTATGTAGGCTTGCATTATATTTCATACGTATTAATGAAAAAAGTACCTTTACTATCGAAAAAGGATTCCTAAGCATGACTTTACATGTATTTCTCATAAATAAGTTCGATCTTCTTAACGTTTCCTCACTTCCGTTTAGTTGCCCACTAAGGCGTACATATTTCACAACGTACCCATCAACCCCTTTATCATGCCTTTCACGGTTTACTCAATACTTGTAATAATTGAAATAGCTTCCAGCTTAATGTATCCTAAAGAAATGATTATTACGTAACAAATGATTTTTTAAGTGTATTTTGCAAAAGAAATCAGTTAATTTAGTATAAAGTTATCTCTGATTCTTGATTCTAATTTATTATAAATGACTTGTTCGTCCTGTTAATATTAACTTTCTAGTGAATTTATAAAGGAATCAATTTCAATGAAATTCTTCTTTAAGCAAGCGCTGAGGTTTTGAAAGAGTGCTAAGTTTAGATCAAAGGTCTATGGATATTTTTTTCTTAAATTCTATTTATAGACTTCTCTAATAACTATTACTTTACTCTTGAACGATAAATTAATTAGAAATTTGTCAATATCCTGGGGTCATAAACAAGACAACATTTCTTCACCTCTTTTCCTTAGTTTAACAAGTGTGATGGAGGAAAAGAGCTTTAGGCTTTGTTTTCCAACTTCTTTTATTCTCAACTAATTAACTACCATTCTAAATAGTTTCTTTTCTCTACAATCTTAGTTGTGGCAACTGATTCACTTCTTTTCTATTTCCATTTCGTTGCAGCTAGTATAACGTACCTTCAAGGATATTTTAAATAAATTTAACACTTCATTCACCCTCTGATTTTTAAGTCGAGAGGAGTTCTTTTGAGATATTTCAGTTCATTATAGTTAAAAAATAACCCTTTGTAATGCATTTTTATGACATTTTGTGGTGTTAATGATACAATTAGGAAAGCCGACAAAGGCATATATGAATGAAAAATACACACTAGCTATAGAAAGTATGTATTACACGTTCACCACTGACAAGAACCGGTATAATCATTCTGTGTATACTGTATATACTTTATATATATACATATATATATTCTCCAAATATAAGAAGGGAACACTCTTTTCAATTAATAGTTTATTAATTTACATGCCTTTTTTCCATAGTAAAAGAAATCTTTTGTAATAGGAAGGAAAAAAAGTCAAATAAATTGAAGAAATTTTTTTAAAGCTAAAATCCGATTTCTTAGACAAAAGACTAAATAAAAGACACAGAGAAGAAAAATTGTTAAACTTTAGCCTACTTTAAAAGGAAATTTATTCAAAAAAATTGTGTATTTAAGGAAAGAATTACTTCTCTTTATCAATTCCCACACTAGAAAAATATAATATTTTTTTAATAATAACTTTCTATTTAGTACTTGAAATATTTCAACATTTTCAATTGGATTATACGTTGAATGTCTTTTCAACGAAGATTAGCCTTTAAGTGACCTCGGTAAACTCTTATTTCTACAAAAGAAAAGAAATTTCCTTTTTGCCTCAATACCGAAAAATATCATCAATATATTTAATTATATATAGTTTTTTGTAATTAGTTTCGGTTATACTTGGTTCCATTATTATGCTTAATTGCTTAATAGCTGTTTGCTGGGCTTATGGAAGGGGAAAAGATTTTTTTTATTAGACTGAAAAAGGAAATTATGTTTCCGCTTTACGCTACCAAATATTACACAAAAAAAGCGGGATTCCGTAAGATGGAATATTTTCTTAAATTTGTCCTTTTTCATTGACCTTGCTTAATCCTTGAAGATTTTGAAGATACTTGGCGAATATAGCTTGAAAAAAAATCCAAAAAACAACTAATCACCTTTACCCTTACAGAAGATAACACATAATAAGATTTATTGTATTGACTTCAACTTTTGATAATAGAAAATAAAAATAGTCAAAAATCTGTATTCTGTGGAATCCATAAAAAATGCCCATCACGCAAGATTGATAAATCTGACTATTAGAGATGATTTACTTTCATATAGGAATGCTCTTCTCTCATATTTATTGTGTAATTTGCCTTAACAAAAATGTTTCTACTAATGCTGACTAATTCTAAATATTTTATGTAATATTACAGGTGGCGGTAATAAAGAAGATTGGCTTGCTATGTGGAGATGGGTTAAGAGAGAATATGAAAAAATCATCGAAAAACCATGAATTCATTGATATTTTTCATAAATTAACAAAGTTATGATGTAAACTATGCCCTGAAAAGTTCGCACATTTTATTGCGCTGCCTTCAAAAATCAAAAACAACGATATATATATAAATATATATATACATATATATATATATGTATGTATGTATACATATGTATTAAATATATATATATAGATATATATAAATATATATATATATACATATGTATATATCTATATATATAGCGAGAGACGTTTTGAAAAATGATAGTCTGACAATTAAATAAAAAAGCCTAAAAAAATAAACTTAGCTACTAGAGTCCAGCCTTTCTGGATAGATAACTCTTACGAAAACTGTCATCGCTGGACTAGAAACGTTATAGCCTTAAATACTTAAGTATAATTTATTAAGGATAGAAATTTCAAGGACTTACATACAGGCGCCTGCGGGAAATGAAGAAAACGGCAAATAAAGGCAATTTCATAAATTGCTATCTATGTAGAGCCATTTTAGAAGTTCTACCCCGTCACGATATTGAAGAAGCTACTATACAAAACTAGGTTAAACATACTAATAAAACATACGAAAAAAATACTCCTTAAGTATTTCATAATTATATATCTACTGGTTTATTCATTGACTCCAAAGGAATAAAGGTAATTGCATCCTTTTTCAGAGACAAAACATGCTTATTTTATGTAGTAGTAATCAAATACCTAAGTGCAATGCAACAAGGTAATTTTAAGTCTAAATTACACATGCAGAATAGAAAAAGAAATAGGCTAGAGACCGATCTGTATTAGTTTTACCAAAGGAAAGTAAACTTGCATAAGATATCATAAAATCCTAGGGAAACAAATTCAAGTAGATAAATCTAAACATTCCTGTTATAATTTGATTATTTTCTTTTGACATAATTTCAGAACAGAATGATAAAAAAAACTTTATTTAAAGTATAGACTTTTTAGATTAAAACCAGATATTTTCTTTTTTCCCAACTCTTGATGGTTATATGAATTTAACATGCGCTTTAGCTGATTGCTTTCAATTCCTTAGCCTTTAAATAATTACAAGAAAACAGATTTTCGTAAGAAGGAGCTACTTCTTCTCCCTAACAGCTAGATTTCAGCGTCCTTTCGTCAAGAACCTTTTCAGAAATACTTTTATCACTTTAATGATAATTCTAAAGTGTCATCTCACTAATAAGCTTGTTACGGAAAGTCCAAAATTTTTCTTAGGAAAGACGTATTATGCACTCCATGGATTATTGATTATCACGGCATAGGAACTATGATCGCTCCAAAGCTAAAAAATCGCAAATAAGTCACGTATTTATGGAAGAAACACGATAGAATACTGTCTTTTGAAGTTTATATATGACTTTTTGCTATTTTGCATCAAAATAGAAAACGTTAAGTAATCAAACACAAACGAATTGCCTCACTACTATTTCCTAATGATAGAATACGTACATTTTATCAGTAGTTCTTTAATCATAATCGAGTGCATCAAGTGACTATGAGTCTTTTAGGGACTTTATCAACGATAATCTCTTTTCAAACAGAGAAATAGTTTCTAGATGGCATCATGCCTAAGTGTGTAAATGTTGTGCTTTTTCGTTTAAATAACATAAGCATACAGTCAGAGATCTTGGCAAACGGGTTTATTACAAACGGTATACAGTTCAGCAGAGCATTATTATTATTTTTTTTTGTATATACATAACATATGCAGCTTGTACAGCAAAAATTTGCAATTAGTATAAGTCGCATGCATAATGTATGTATAGATATAGATGTTACACATTCCACTTTATATATATATATATATATATATTTATATATATATATATATATATATATGTACGGTATATATATTTATACATTTATATGCATAAATATATCTATATATATATATATATATATATATATATATATTTATATATATATTCATATATTTATATATTTATGTACGTTGTAGACAATATTGCAGAAAAATGGTACAAAAAGGAAATAATATAGCCGTCGATCCTGTTAGTTTAATTAAGCAGGCGAAAAAATGTTTTTAGAGGCTAGCCGCGGGACGAACTCGAAAACGTCCGCCAATCAAATAAATTACTAATCGCTACAATCAAATTACGTATCCTCCGACGCGCTTCAAGCGGGCGCGTAAAAAAAATTATACAAAGAAGTGTCGCGTAAGGGCGACCGAATGACATGCTTAGAGATGATCGGACATCACAAACAAATCTGACAGGTCGTTTACGAGGAGGGAACGCGAATATTTTTCTCTATTGCTGGACGGCGCCACCTGGCGCGTTACTTCAGGAAACGCGCGAAAATGTATACAAAAATCGATGCTAAGGTGGTTAGGTGGCTGGGGTCACTTAAAAAGCGGCGCGCATAGACGCACTCCTCGGTAGAAAAGTTCTCACGGACCAGTTTTTTTTCGTTTTTCATTATTTATACAGGCGTCGTTCGTCGTAAGGTATCAACCATGTGGTGACCGGAAGTGACGTCTGCTGTCGTCGAGATAGTGTGCCGAGAAGCGTCTCTGTTCATAGTTGATGGAGCGTTATCGGACACGGGAGTATAAGTATAGTAACTCTCCGAATGAGACGGAGAGGTCGTAGACGTTTCACCCTTGTTTCGTCGGAAGCGCTGAGTCCTTTGCTCGTTTGCTGTCATACCAACTCTCTCCTGCTTTTTCTTGTAAGCGTGTCTATTTCGCGATATGTACAGGTAGACGCTGAGAACGCCCGTTGCCTCCGACATAACGAACGAGCCAACAATCAGAGCAAAAGATAGACCATATGAGTAGGTGAACTTGGGATCCTCCAGACCTGATTTCGGCTTGTAATTACCTACTTCTTCAGTTATAGCGCCGATGTAGAGGATAATTCCAATTAATGTGCATAGGCCTAAATATATATATATATATTTATACATACAGCAGGCAACTTTAGACTCATCAATAAACAAAAGGGGCTGGGAATGGTTTAAGCTCACCTCCCATCACAAAAAGAATGCCCGAAATGAAAGTGAGAACTTGTCTTCTGTGATTGCAGTGACCCAGATAACAAATGATGTTTGCCACGAGTAGAATAAACAAGGATATTAGGGGAAAGATGGCCGAACGCCGCGTCGATTCTGCAACGAGTATTTCATGTTTATAAAACAGTATAAAAAATCAGTGTTATCTATGAAGATTTTATTATAAATGGTAGGTTACTATTTGAATAATCACATGTACATTTTTATAATTCAAGATTTCATCTGACCGTGTTATTTAATTCTACGTATTTGTATAAATGAATAAATGAATATTAAAATATTTAAATTTGTAAAAATATTATCTGTTTACATTATTAGGTTAAGATATAAGTATATATACTAATATATATATATATATAAAGAATAGTAGAATTATTAATAAAAATTCTAACTATATTGCCTATACATTCACTTTTTCAATGAACGGCTTGTCTACATATTTACGATGTACATTCATAGAATATTCATTTAGGTATATAGACATATTAATATATACATATATATATATATATATATATACATTTATGTATATATACTATATATACTGTATATATTATAAATGCAGTACAGATGCAATGTCAATTTATTTCTATTTATATCGTTTTTTTTTTGCAGTTATTTGTTTATATTCAAATTCATCCCGAATGTTAATGGTTTTAAATGAGTCATAGTATTATTTAAGATCTGTATTTGAATACAAAATTTTAAAAACCTTGTACTTAATTTATATAATCTAATTCTATTTATATAAATGATAATTATTCAAAAAATTGTGGTCATTCGTTCTAATTATAAAATTCTATACTGTGCTAACATAAAATTAAAATTTACTCACGCAAAATCGTTTCAGTCGCACTCATATCGTCTTCGTCTTCGGGGGGATCAAAGTAGTTAATGTAAGAGCAGTCCTTTCTCGGCACCGGCACGTCCGAAGAGAGGCCTGATGAGGAATAATGAGCTACTTTTAACACTAATTAATTTATAGACGCGCGATGCAGCTCTACACTCTTTTCATTTTCATATTCCAATATAGATGTAAATGCACACAGACCCATTCTAGGGTAACCCGGGGAAAGAGTCTTATCGATCGTCGATTTTTAGAAACAAGTTCATACATATAATATACATACAAATATCCGACAGTATACTGTTATTGCAAATTGTATACAGTGTACTCCACTGTTGCTATCTTTACCTAACAGATGTAACTGCTACTATAGCTCTTAAGTTTTTAAATACTGCTTTGCAGATCAGATAACACCGCACCGTATATTTTCATCACCACTTTGAAAGTTACTAATTTACATGGTATATAATAATTTATAAGATTGAGTTTTCCTTGTTGAAAGTAAATGTACGTTTTATGTTAAATAGTTTCGACACTAAACCTGAACATTCCTGTTACTTTACCAGACATACTCACTCCAATTTACTCATTGCATTGGTGATGTCCAGAGATTTTTTACCCTTTATTATACTGATATATAGACATGTAGGATATTATACTATATATGTATGTAATATCTATAAGCTATTTCAAATATTATCAATAAAACGTATATATACAATAATATATTGATTTTATACTTATTTATGTTTGCGTCTTTTTATATGTTTATATATATATATATATACATATAAACAGATTTCTCTGTATATATGCATGTAATCATTTACGCTTTTCATCAGTTCTATTATCGAATATCAATATAATTTTACATAAATATAGCATTTGCTTTAATCATTACTATATTTTTATTTACCTATCATACTACTTATATTTATATAAATATATATATATATACATATATATATGTATTTTCTAAGCGATTTTATCTTGTATGTATGTACAACACACAGAACAAACTACATATATATAGTGTAAATGTAATATAGAGTGTTATGCAGTTAACTAGTGCATATTAAGTACCCTTTACTATCTGTTAGGACCTATCCCTGAAATATTTTACCTGCACGCATACACTTTCTCCATAAACCAGCAGTTGTATTTAAAAACGTCTCCTTCGTTCCATTTGGGTTGGTGACGCGTTCGACAGAGCTGAGCCAATAATCTGTAGCGACTGCAACGCACAAGAAAGCGAACGATACGCACGAACAAACACTGCTCGTGAACGTGAGCAATTTGCGGCTATTACATAAGCCGCCCATTTTCACAAACATCCGCATTCCATACAAACAGCATGCCACCTTCCTCAGCTTGTACACCATGAGCGCGGAAAGAACATTTCCAGCCGTCTACTGCAACACACTTATTTGCACCAATTGATTGGCGGCTGCACGATGCCCCTATGTTAATTTCCTCTTTCGTCACATCCGGGGTTGGGGAAGCGCATGCGCCCCCGTCCCGCTCCGGATGCTGTTGCAGCTGTATAGCCTTTTAATATAGCGCTTTGCAGTCTTTTTCTCTTCACGCGTCTGCAATATCAACCTTTCACTCTCTGTCTGTCTGCCTGTCTGTCTCATTCTCTTTTGTTCTCTCTTTCTCTCATACTCTCCCATTCCCTTTCTCTTTCTCCTTCTCTTCAATTCCAATACCATATATCTTTTTCTCGTTTCTGATTTTTATATTGGCTTCTATGCTTTTTGTTTGTCTATCAGAGTGTAGTTCTTTGCAGAGTTTGTGAATCCCACTGTCTACGCCTAGTCTACAATATTCCGTAGTACATCATTTCGTTTCATTGGTAGTCTAGCAGTCAGTCGTCCCTCTTCACCCCCGTCATCCTCCCCCACACTGTCAGTCTTTTAAGTTATCGGTTTTTATTTCTGCTTCTTTATTCTATTCTTAATACAAAATACTTAGGTTAAATTGTAACTGCAAGTCATATGTACCTCTGTAAACATACAAAAAAACAAACTTGATTCCCATTGCTGACAGTTTGGCGCTTGAGGCAAACGTCAAAGTTAATTTATAGATATACGTATATGTGCGCTCTCCTCGTCTCAACAAATTCGGAGATTTTCTCAAAAGAACGAGAGGCTAAAATCTTAGCGAGCAAATTGATTTTGTCATGAGTGATTTATGTTTAGTGACTTAAAAACGCTATTCAACCCACCTATGCGCACCAAAGCAACTCGCTTTGTAACTTGATTACGGCATTGCACGCACTGCACAACTGCAAAAAATTACAACGGTCCCATTTAAGTCAAACAAGCCGAATTTAACCTTTCTTTTTGTGCCCAAATATCTCATATCTCAAGTGTGAGGATGCTTCTACTGCTATTTGTTGTAATATAGTTGGCCTTGTTTTTTTTTCCTTTTATTTAACTAGTAATTACATCCGAGATCAAATAAATTCACCGCCGTTTTTTCAATAGGTTCGTTTCAAGAAAAATTGTCGTGATTTACTACGATTATATCGATTATTGACTTTAAGCCTAACACGTATCGATACGATAAGAAGAGCAAAGGCTCTGATACTTGACAACTTTTCGCAGTTGTTCTTGGCTACTAATCAGAAAACAGATATGGACACGCAGTACGAAATTATCGGTAGAATAATTGAATACATCCGACGAAATGACGTACGGAATTTGAAGAGAATACTAATGAGAAAGCCGGATGAGATCGCTTACCTTTGTACGCAGGTATAAACGGCTCTATTCTGTTAATCATTAAATATTTAATATAAAAATAAGAGTAGAGACATTATAAATGAAATGTATGTAGTCCCATACGCATTTCATTCTCGGTACTTTGAGTTGCCGAGAGACGCTTAACTAGGTTCGTTACCATTCCAATGTTGTTTGCTTTTTAACTTTCCATCTTTGATATCTGTATAATGCTTAATAGTCTATAGTCGTTCTGTCGTTATTCTAAAAAAAATTGGCTACTCCCCGCCTAATTGTATTAATAAGCAGAAAGGTCCCGGTGGATGGACGGCTCTAACGTGTGCCGCCGATTTGGGATTCGAACAATGCTTACGAACTCTTCTGAATGCTGATGCGAACGTAAATAGTATTGACCATAAGTGAGCGACGACTCGATACGTTTCTATCAGTGTATAATTCAATATAAACTTCATTTAGTGGCTGGGCAGCAATACACGCTAGCAGTCGTCAGGGTCACACTGCTGTACATCGTTTACCTAATTTATCCAGGCAGAAATAAAACTTACAACCTTGTAAATAAACATCTGAAATAGATTCTGTTCCGTATATACTAATATATTAGTATCTATACAAACATTTTTATACATAAAGCAAATGTATTCTATATGTGATATATAGTTTATATTTGGTTTATATACGTCTATATATAAGTAATAGAATTCATCAAGGAGACATTTATTTTAATTTATTTTTAGTTATAAAAAGTAAATTTTTTAAACACTGATAAAACAGTATATTATATTATTTACGATAGTAAAGTATATGTACTGTATTAGTATAAAATATATAATATATTAATAGAAAAGAATCGATACTCCTAACTGAAGTGAGAGTTTACACAAGTTAAAAGTTAAATAGTATGTTAAACTGTATTTTTGTAAATATATTTATCGAGTTCGCCTGGAAAAATTAAGGTTATTAAATTACTTCACGAATACTCGGCCGATTTGAATTTAAAATCGAAGAATGGCTGGACTGCACTACAAATAGCAATCTGGAATGGTACAGTTGATTCTGTAAAAACCTTACTCGAATTAGGTGAGGTTATAAATAGGGGAATTCTTATAAATTCTTGCTTTGACTAATAGGCTTATTTGCTAAATAACATAGGAGCGTCAGTTGATGTTGCTGGACCTTCACAGTGGAATGCCGTTCACATAGCTGCCTATTTTGGACGCGGCGACCTTATCGACATACTTCTCAAACACGGGGGCAAACTGAATAGTGTTACAGTGTCCGGCGCAAGTGGACTTTACTTGTCGGCCCAAAACGCCATCAGGTGCATATTTTATTCTATAGTAACTATAAAAAAGATATATGTGAGTGAAACATCTCGATCTATACAATCAGGAGTTCGAGCAAGACGCAATTGGATGCTGGCGCTCTGTCTTATCTAAGTAAAATTGATGGCTGGACGAGCGTACATATTGCCTGCTCAAAGGGTCATTACGACATTGTCCGATTGCTGCTCGATGGGACATCACATGTGGATAGAATGACAGAAGATGGCGCCACTCCTTTATTCCTATCTGCCCAGCACGGACACTCGGAAATTGTTGAGTATCTGTTAAGTCGAGGGGCTGATGTTAATTCGGTAACAAAGGACGGTTGGACTCCACTGCATATGTCTTCGCAAAATGGCGACGTAAGCACTTGCCAATTACTTTTGGAAGCCGGGGCCCAGATTAATAGCGTTACAGCGAGTGGTGATACGCCTTTTCACGTAGCCTTACAACATCGCCACGAGAACGTTGCTAGGATATTATTGAAAAGGGGATCGGATGTTAATGCTTCCAATTCTTCTGGTATAACACCTCTCCACCTTGCGGCGGCTAAAGATTCAATGTTAAATGTCCTTTTAAAAAGTGGAGCATCACTCAATGCTCAGGATGAGAATCTTTGCACGCCTATTCATATAGCCTGCAGGAATCGAATGTTTCGCGTAGCGTCCGATTTAGTCTTGGCAGGGGCTTCGGTTGATAAAGTTGATAAATACGGTAGAACCGCAGCTCACCTTGCCGCTTTAAACAGTGGTTATGAACTAATAGGTTGTTTAAAGTCTGCTGGGGCTAATTTAAATGCTCGGGATAATGATGGGTGGACACCTATGAGTATGGCTGCCAAGGCTGGTAACATTAACGAAATACAAGCTTTAAAACAATTAGGCGCAGATATAAATTTGCCAAAAAAAGATGGTTGGACGCCACTACACCTCGCTGTAGAACGAAGAAATCTTTTAGCGGTAAAATCGTTGCTAGAAAATGGAGCCGATGTTAACGCCCTCTTGAGGGATAAATCAACATCATTACATTTAGCTTGTTGGTCTGAAGATGTTCAGTTAATTAAAATACTTTTAAATTACCGAATAAAATCAACGACGGCAAATGAGGAGGGTTGGACACCGGTCTTAATATCTAGCTATCTTAGGGACAGTCAAGCTCTATCTGCCCTTATAACTGCTAAGGTCAATGTGCAGTGTAAATTAAAGAATGGTATGAGCCCGTTATTTATAGCAGCAGCACAGGGTGATACTGCTGCTGTAGAATTATTGTTGTCGGCGAATGCAAACTATGAAAGTATTACTGAAAGTGGATGGAAGCCGCTCCATATCGCTGTTCAAAGGGGTCATAAGAGAGTAGTTGAGATTCTTTTAAACATTGTTGATTTTGATTCAAAATTACCAGATGGTAGAACTGCTTTATATCTAGCCGCTGAATTTGGTAGGAAGACCTGTCTGAGGTACTTGATTAAAAAAGGATGTAATATAAATCCCGTTTCCGAATATGGAATGACTCCATTAATGGCAGCCGTTGATCAAAATAATCCCGGCTGTGTTAAAATTCTTATTCAAGCTAAAGCAAATTTAGCTCATCAAACTCCGGATGGTAGGACATGTTTGCATATTGCCAGTGGCTTAGGCCTAGTCGATCTTTGCCAGTTGTTGATTGACGCACAAGTGGATGTAAATACAATCAATAGGAAGGGTCAGACACCGTTAGATATAGCTATAGAAGAAGAGCAATATTTGGTAAAAGATCTTCTCTCCAGAGCAGGAGCTAGGTTAGGAGAGTATTCATAATTATTTTTTTATCTAAAAATACATTTTCTTATTTTTACACTGATTAAATAAAATTAAAAAATCATGAATTATAAAAGAAAATTCAATAAATAATACAAAAATAAACATAAATTTTTTATAATATTACACTGAAAACAAAAGTACAAGTAATAAAACTTGACATTCTTGTTAATAACCATCCTTAAAATCTTACAACTAATAATCTGGTAAAAGCCTTTTCCTAGTCTTTTCTAATTTAATCGTCTCATCTTAACCTTTAATCATTTAGTCTAAATTTTAATAATGAAAGACACGTTATAAACATTTTGTGTTTTTTTTTTTTTTTTGAAATTCTTTTATTAAAGAAAGTCATCATTCCATATATTTGTCTATTTATGGAAGTTGTATTCGGGGTAAGTTGAGTGGTTTCAATAGAAAACAAAGTATTCAGAAAAAAAAAGATTATCAGGAAACAAAGAAACTTCTCTCCACTAAAATCCCTTTAGTTTTATATTTTATTAGGTTGTCTCTTTATGGATCTATTCAACTCATAATTAAAATAAAGAAATAAAACTATTTTTGACTGGTAACTGAGTCCGCTCATTTTTTTTTAGACCGGTGAACAAACATGCTTTTTTTTTCGGAGAAGCATAAGGCAAACATATATAACAAGCACGCATATTTTTGAGGAATTTGCTCTGAGAAGTTTTATCAATCGCCCAACATGAGCTTAGCAAATTCTGAAAGAAAGAAATAAAAGAAATAGAATAATTAATATTAAAGGCGGTCATTTTTACACTATTTATAAATAGTACATATTCTCTATATATATATATATATATATGTTTGTGCAAATGAGACTTTATATATACAGAACATGTGCCATTTTTTTTATGTGTTAAGGTGTGGGAGAATCTCATGAATAAAAAAAAAACTGATTTATCTCATATTTCTTGAAGCTCTGTTGAGATTTATAAAAGAAATATACTCTATTTTGAAAATAAATCCGCTGAGGAAAGAAGTGGTTGCTTTAAAAGAAAAGATGGGATCTGTTATTCAAGGTCGGGGTTGATTGGGCAGGCGCAGGGCAAACACATGAGGCGAACCTAATCTTGCGTAGAGTCATACTACTTTATGGCGGTACAAATTCGATTTATTTTAGCAACTCTTATGCTTAGCCAAAAGTTTAGGTAACCTACATAAAATGGACTGATAAAGTACCTTTTAAATAATTCATCATACGCTTATTTTATGAAGGATAGAATAAAAGAAAATTTTAGCCAAAAAAATAAGCCAGACGGTTGTTAGTCGAGTTTTTTAGGAAAAAAAAACAAAACGAAAAGTTGGTACAGGCATACTCTAAGCATATTGTTATTTATATATACTATTTGTATTACCCTCGTAATCAACCCAACCGGATCCATCAGTATCAACATCAGCAATCATATCGTCAATATCTTCTTCTGTTAAATCATCTCCAAGCGATTTCAGAATCCAACGTAGTTCATTGACATCCACCTGCATAAAATATTTATACTTCATTTGTAAGAGTACAAGAATAATATATATATGTATAAAAAAAAGAAATAAAACAGCTGATTAAGTAACTCTCAAGAAAATATACCTCTCCCTTTTTTTCTTTATCTAAGACTCTAAATATTTCTTTCAGTTCTCTCTCATCTTCTTCTTCTTGCATCTTCCTTTTAACAATATCACAAAATTCTTCAAATTCGATGAAACCAGTCCCTTCCGTATCAATTTCATCTTCGAATTTTTCTAACCAATCAGATTTTATACTATGACCAAGATCTTTCATAGCAGAACTAATGTCTCCAGTTTTAATCTTCTTTTGATCTCTTTTATCATGTTGAAGGAAGGCTTCTTGACAGCCTGTTGAATGGTGTAAGTTAATACAAACTACCTTATCCTAATTTCTCTGAAAAACACTTAGCTATAATCAAACTATGTATTATTAAATTTGTTAAAGAAATTTTCATAAATTTGATACCATTTTTAATGGCATTTTGGTAACTCTGACATAAGATTACACATATGCTATCCATAAAATGTAAAATTATACCAATTCTCTAAACGAACCTTTTAGCTGAGCATCCGTCAGCTTTATTTCAGTCTAAAAATAGAGTATAAAGTTTTAATAATTTCATCTAGATATTAGATGAAAAATTTATGATTTTTTACCATTTTATCTTGTAATCAAAAACTAGTTTCTTCTAAACAGAACCGAAGCTGGGGAGGTAGTAATGCTTGTTCTATTTCTGTCTAGGTGTATTTTCGAGTTTATATGCCTATTAAACAACTAAAAATTCGACATTTCTTTTAATAGATGGCGTTATACAACTATTCTGGCTATTATAAAACGATAGGATCTGTAAAATATTTCAAGAAAAAAAAATTAAACTATAAAGAGAAGAGAAATAACACATAGAAATCTAATGATAACATAATGCTGCCATCTAGTGTCTTAATACAACATTACTATAGAAACAGTACTAAGGGCGTCATCTTTCATATTATAACTTTTTCTGCAAAGTAAATTCTTTTCCATTCGACGTGAAAAGGGAAAGAAGACAAGAAAAAAATATTAATTTTTTTTTAATAAAAAAATGGAAGAAGGATTAATTTTATTTTTTTTTCTAATAAAAACTAATATAGAAAAATGAAATAAAACTTAAATACAACAAATAGAGTGTGTTTTTCTATTACAAAAAGTGTTTAAATATTAACTTTTTATTTTCTTTATTTCCTTTTTTTTTATAAAAAAAAAAGGAAATAACAAAAAAAAAAAACAACACTTCGTTAACGATAAATGATGAAATATTTTAATTATTCTAACAAATTTTCCCACTTGTCGATTGCGATTCTAGTTGAGATGAAAAGATCGTAATGTCACATATGCGTCCTGTAAACATTTGCATAATAACGAGCCTGCATATATTCAGACAGATGACTAAGCTGAAATTCTGTATTTATATGCAATGTGTTGTTATATTTATATACATATGCATACATATATTATACATATTATATATATATATATATAAATATATATATATATATATAATAGCATACGTAGTACGCGTTAAAATGCATGATATATTTTGTCTAAATATACATAATTTAATAAGCGCCACCTTGTTTGAAAGAAATTGTTAGATTTTAAATTTTTAAATGAATAAAATTATCAACATACCTTTTCATTGTTTGATAATTGAATTGTAATTTATTAAGATGTTCTTTAAATAAATTGCATTTTATCAGTACAAAGACTTTCATACTGGGAAATTCGAATTAAAAAGTCACGAGTCGGTGACTTTTATTGGGAAGTTGTATAAACAAGTAATAGTACCAGCACCTTTTTTAAAAGGTATATAGGGCCGAGTGTGATCAGTTTTACTAATAAATTCTTAAGGAATGTTGTGAATAAATCATACATTTGTCCTATATATAAAATTCTTTAGATAACCTTTCTATATATTAAAGTTATATTTAACTATTATAAAATGATTTAAAATGAAAAAAAAACCTAAGTAATTAAAATCAAAGATAAAATATAAATTAAAAAATATTTATTTAAGAAATATTGACAATTCAGGCGCGCCTTTAATTTATAAAACTGAATGGAGAGGAAAATAGGCTATTTTAGAAATACTGTTAACGTTGATATTGATAATTTTAGGTTAAAAAATAAAATAGAATAAAAAGTAATTGAATTATATACTGTATAGAAAAATAATATAAAAATATATATATATTTGATGTTTTAAGACTTCTATTCATCCTTGTCAGAAAGAATTAGAACCAACTATTTGGCCCTTCAATTGATGTCCTTTTTTCCCGCCAAAAAAAGGAAAAGTATAATAAAACTATACATTAAAGTTATTAATATCTTTTTTTAAAATTGATCTTTTCAAAAAAAATTCTTTATATAAGGGAAACCCGTTTTAACTTTAAATATTTAGATATATAGTATATTTATATAGCTTATAGACTCGTAGCTAGATACACTTTTATATAAAATCACCTTCAGGGTATTGATAAATTCTTTGCTCTATTGAAAATGATGATGTAACGAATACTTGTACGCTTATATGGTATATACTCTATAATTAAATATTACGTAATTTTGTACGAAAATGTTTAACATAAAGAAAATAGATAAACTTAAATAATGTAATATTAATAGCGCGACAAAAATTCTTATACAGATGCTCCTTTAAAATGTAAATTCTGTTTACTTAAGCGCTTTATCTGTCGAAAAAATCGTGGAAAAATAGTGCAAGATTGAGGTAATGCATATTCTTATTGAATTTATATGCGTACTTTAGCAAGGGTGTAAATTATTAATTACGTAATACTTTAATACCTATTCTGACTCGCGAAGGCGAGAGGGATTTTAAATTATCCTAGTTCTAAACCATATGTTTACATTATGTGTAAATTTGGGTGAAACCGGGCATGCACTATCAGAAATGACCCCTATGTATCAATGAAAAAAGTTGAAAGATATATGGCTTTATATTTTATCTATTCAACAGTAGTGGTCAGTTTCTATCAATATTGAATATCCAAACTATAGATAATATTTTACCGTTTTTTTTCTTTCTCTGTCTCTCTCTATCTATCTATCTCTCTCTCTCTCTCACTGTACATATATATATATTAAAAACTATACTTACAAACGTTTATAATACAAATAAGTATCCGGCACAGATGTTGAATATATAAAAAGAATACTTAATACCTGTTTACCAATATACAATTTACTTTTATAAATGTTCATAAAAGTTAATCATTTTGAAAGCAAAAAAAAAAAAAAGATTAATTATTTTATCCAACTTTTAATAGCTTCTATTGTATATATTATGATATACTATTATATTATATTAATCATAATTATCACTTTGCTTTTTTTTTTCAAACTCATTGCTCTATTCTCTTTCACTCTTTCTCTCTCCCCTCCCTCTTATCTATTCCAAGAACACCGCCTGTTTCCATTAATAGTAATTGGGGAAAAATAGAAAAAAAACTTGGACAAATAGAAATTTTAATAATAAAAGTATTGTTATAGAAATATGCATATGGTGCGTCATGAAGGTAATAAGGGTTTCGTATAATAATATGTATAATATATATATATATATATATACAGATACGGCTATTAAAAAACCATTTTTAGTTTATTTGTTCCTTGTGTTTATAATGATAAAAAACAAGTGAATTATCTACACGATGTCACGTGTATGCATTAGTTTCAGAGTTTGTAACAGACTTTACAACCATCAGTTGACATTACTTCTATTATGTAAAGTCAACGCAAAAAAGACGAGCGATAAAACTTGACCTCAATCAGCCCATCTAATTGAGACGACACGAGCTTGTCGGAACGCCATCTGGCGCCGACGTATCATTTGCATATCTCCATATCGATCTAATTGCTCACACCTTCCAGGGGTTATTTTCACCCCGTCTTGTCCCTGATAACATCAGCGAAGAGAGTGAAGAAAATTTCTGCATGATCGCGGTTAAATATCCAACAAATATTGACTTTGAGCAGTTCGTTGCCAGGAGCGGCTTTTGGCACAAAGGACTAGTAAACAACGTGGTCTCGCAAAGCGGCCAACACCTGCACTCAGCGGGGCGTCACACCTGCAGCGTCATCAGTCAATGCCGACGTCCCGCTGACCATTCGGTTTTGGTCAAACACGAAAAAATCAACATACAACCTCTGTAATCCCATCTAAATGCAAATAGGCGTCCGCAGCGCATGCGCTAACTCCGCCCACCGTTTGATTGGCAGTTGGTCAGTAGAGCAAACAGCTTGCCGTCCGTCAGATTCATCGCAATCATGCCTCGCCCCGGAAAGAATACTTACGGCGATCAAAAACCTCCTTATTCCTATATCGCTCTCACAGCAATGGCTATCCAAAGCTCTAAGGAAAAAATGCTGCCACTGAACGATATCTACAAGTTCATCACAGATAATTTTCCTTATTACCGTCAGAATACGCAACGTTGGCAGAACTCCTTACGACATAATCTCTCATTTAACGACTGTTTTATCAAGATTCCAAGACGTCCTGACAGACCCGGAAAAGGCTCTTATTGGGCATTACACCCAAGTTGTGGAGATATGTTTGAAAATGGAAGTTTTCTGAGAAGAAGAAAGAGATTCAAGCTCTTAGCTAGGAACCTTCCTAGTCTAGTTGAAGCAAGTAGTCAACAATACTCTATGCCACCACCACCTGCATTATATTCTCCATCTTATTTGCCGAGAATGTATACACCTTCTCATCGAACGCCTCTAACGGTTCACCCTCAGTTGGCGATATCTTCTACTTTACCACCATCTGGTTCAACGAGTCCACCACCTACTAAAAAATCAACATCTCATAAGCAATCGTTTAGCATTGAAAGTATAATGGCAAGGGATGATCCGCCCTTGTCGTCTTCAAAATCTCTTCACTTTAATCCGCCTCCTCTAATTCCTGTGCATTCGTCAGTAAAGAGACCGTTTGCTCTCCAGCCATCTCTCTCCTCTCATTCACTTCAATCTATCCTATCTCATGGGTAATACCTTTTGTTTTAAACAAAAGAAAATCAAATATATATATATATATATATATATATATATATATATATATATATATATATATAAGCTGTATGTATGCATGTGAGTGTGTATGATAGTAAACAAAAAAAATACGTACATTCATGCTGAGACCCATTAATATACTTTTTTTTAAAAAATAAGATACATATAATTCATTGTATATATATATATATATATATGCATACTAAGAAAATGGATAGAGTACAGTAAAATGAACAATTTTAAAAGTATGCATTTATATCAGAAAAAAATTAAAAGAATATTTTAATATCGTATACAGTCAAGACAGTCAATATATGTATATAAAATTAAATATTGTGTATTTATATATAAATATATATATATATATATATATATTTATAATTGTGAGAAGGGAGAGAAAGAAGAACTGTAATCCGTACACTTTATAAGAATAGGTTTATTTGTTTGTTTAAATTAGACAGAGAAAAGTAATCTGTTTTCGTCTTTCCCTCGGTTGTCAATATATATATATATATATATATATATATATATTCAACTTTTGGTTTCAATTCATTTCACTGCTTATATACAAGTAAAAGTTATTTTTCAGTATATATGCAGATTTTATTTGATACATTTAAAACAATTTCTTTATTGTAAATATAACTCTGGAAGCAGCGCAGTTATTTTTTGTTTCATTTTTTTTATCTGAATAAAATTAAATACTGAGATTACATGATATATTTAATAATTTCTCTTTCTTAAATAGTTTAATAATGTTTCTATCTATAAGAGTAAGCATAGGTAGCAGGTTTTTTCTCTGGATATAATTTAGCAAAAAAATTGATTTTTACCGATAATGAGAAGAAAGAGAGGGACAGGGAAGCAAAGAGAGAGAGAGAGAGAGAGAGAAATTGAGAAGAAGTGAATAAAACGGAGAAAGTAAAAAAGAAAAGAAAGAGAGAGAGAGAAAGACCATTTGGATAATTTTAGAGATGATAGAATGTTCTTTTGAAGTGGCAATAAAATGAATGAAATAAATATAATGAAATAAGATGAAAATTATTATCTATCGTTGTAATTTAATATTTTAAAAGTTATAAGAAGAAAGCCGACGAGAAAGAAAAGAAGGGAAAAAATTCCTTTTCTAAATTTTTTTTCAAAAGACAGGATTTGTTTAAGATTGAAAGAAAGTATTCTCTGCGGAAACGTAAGAATTAAGAAAGAAGTATAGACGAGTATACTTGACCAGCAAAAAATCAATATAAAGGCAATTGATCGTCAATAGATTCAGTAGTAGTAAATAAATTTAATTATAGATAAACCTTTCATATACATTATATAATGTAAGAATGAATATTAATATCAGTCATGATAATTATAACATGCAATATATAATTAATATACATTTATTAGATAGTCAACAGCTTTTTTAAATTAAAACATAAGCTCAATTTGAACACATTGCAAATTGCAATTGGATTTTTTAACGGTGATGTTAAACTGATAATATTTTCCTCTTTTGTCAAATTGAATAAGGCATTCAAACGCTGCGCCGACGTCAAATATGTTTACAGGATTTTACGCGATATACAAAGAAAATATATAAATGAATTATTCGAAAAATAGCTTAAACACTTTGAACAGTTTCAAATGTCAAAAAAACCTTCAAATGTTACGCACAAAGGCGACGGACTATTAATTCACCATTTTTCATTTACACTCCTCAATTGTTGATAAAGCCTTTCTTCTACATACTGCTTGTATGTCAGAATTAAAACATTGACGATGAAAAATTCATGACGCAATACCAACAGAAATAACGTCTCGCTACAAACAATCGTAAACTGCCAAACGTATTCGAGCGTGGGGAGAAGACAAACAAGCATTTCTACATTAATAACGAATTCTTTTTGTCCTTTAGTAGCCTATGAGAGAAAATTGATTGTGTAGGCCTATGAAGAGTCAATTACTCACTTCACACCATACAAGAAAGCTTTAACAAATGTTTGAATAGCTCCTTTCTACATGAACGCCATCGCTATAGTTATTTATTTATACGGATCAGTCGAATCGCTCTTGCAAGTGAACATTCATTTGCATATTATTGCTGATTTGTATTAGTAGGCGTTTTTAAGACGCCGTGTTGGTCAATGTTTTATTAGGGACGCACGCTGTTGTTAATTATTGTATTGCTTCAGTTAATTACAGTTGAGAGAAAATACAACCCAGACGTCCGTAATAAAAAGATCTTCTAAAAGAACGTATATATTTACTTTCGATTTAATTAAACAGCTATATTTAAACTTTATACGTTCTATTAGAATATGTATATATTTACTAAATGTTCATTCAACTCATTCTACCTTATGTACATAAATAACAGAAAGTAAGTTATTGAGTTAAGAAGTTGTTTACAAACACAGAAACGCTAATGAAATTTTGTCCAATATGCTGTAGATAATGATTGTATTTATGTAAAGAGAGGTAAATGTATTCGTTTTACTATATGTGTATTTGCTAATACGTGTGGAAATAAATAAATTATATTTAAACTTATATAAAATCATATACATATAAGGTAGGCTTTGTAAAGAAAAATCAACAAAAAGCTTTGTACGAGGCAGACAATAATCGGCGAATATATTGCCACTTAGACCGCACCTTTTTGCGCCCGTTTCTATTGAACTTTGTTAAAAACTGATGTTTGTTCAATAACAAAATCGATGGGTGAAACGCTCGAAATTACTTCATTCTTTTTTTCCTCTAGAAAAGAAACAAGTCAACGATTATCACCGTGTCGTGATTTGCCGGGTATAAATTATGTCCATCATTTTATTCCTTCCTTTTATTCTATTTAAAACTTCCCCATTTTCTCCCACTCTCTATTTTTCGGACAGCGAAACGATAATATTCATTTATTTTATTCCGTTATTTCATTTATTATTTAAAAAATCTTTTACAGGTGACATGATGAACGACTATCACATTTAACGCTTATTTTATTTACTAAATAGTAATAGAGTATAACAAGGCCTATATCCTGCCTTTTTTTAGAACTTTCATCAACTCGTTCAATGAAGAGTGGGGGGTGGAGAGAAAAAAACTTTTTTTTTTCAAACAAGAATACTTTTTTCAAATGTTCTCGTTGAAAATGTCAATTTCGGTCATACGTAAAGAAAGGTCGAGGTTATAGCGTTGTCATCACACCCATCGGACGGACATAAAGCACCATTGTCCAATTTCGAAACATATACTTTTTTGTTCAATTACTTTATATAAGTATCAGTAATCTGAATGATGATTTTTCTCTTTAATTACTTTGTGTTTTTGATTTTTTAAACATAGTGTAGGATTATATGTTTTTCTATAGAGATATAATAAAGCCTATCTAAATGTACCCGATGGTATAGCCTCTATAATATAGGCTGACTTATCAATTTTTTTCATCTATAAATGATTAAATAGATTGTTTAAATGCAAATTTATATATTTTTACGTTAAAGGCGCTGAATAAAAAAGAATAACCGAATTATGTTTAGCTATTTATTAACAATGGCGTTATATTTTGAATAGTTCATAGATGTACAATACATAGGCGTTATACATGCAGCTAGTGTAAACGAGACATAAATATTTTATTCCATATCCATATACACTTTAAAAATTCAACTCATAAAAACGTCATGAAAATGCAATTAAATACGCACAAAAGGCCGATTGAGACGTCGTCGACCGCAATCGAACCGTCGAGCCGCTTGACCGATACACGTAAAACAACTTAGAAACGGCTCGGACGCAAACAAAGAGAAACGGCGAATTGATTAACTCATAAATAGCCCAAAAAAGGCGGAGCCTATTTCTTCATTCCTATGCGCCCGCATCTTTCGCACCTGGCCCTAGTATAATTGTTGGAACTTATAAATCTCAAGAGAAACGAAAGGGAAAGAGTAAAGGGAAGGAGTACGTAAAATTGATCTAACCTCGAAAATCGCCGGTCACCATTAATCGTAGGGCAACGACGGCGTTTCGATCGCGCCAGGCTCTACCGCAAAGCCGGCGTTAGATTGCGTGTAAGACGCCGACAAAGAAGCGTCGACGATATTGACTGATGGGCGCGCTGGTTGGGAAATGATAATTTATAACGCAAAGCGGTCGTACATATAAATATGTGAGAAACGATTGGCTTTGGCCATAAAATACCGATCTCTTTGTCAATATTTATACAATGCTTCACTGAAGAAGAATCGCTGAATATATCGAGTCGATTAATCCGATAGTCGCCTATAGTCGCACCTGCATAAACACGACTTTGACTGGCGGCGGATCGCAATCCGATTGAAAATAGTAAATATCTATAATACTGCATTTTTCTTCTTAAATATACACTAAAGTATATAAGCATATACTACACAAGTTTCTATATTTTTCTACGTGAATACATTTCACTTCCATATATATACAGTATATATATATATATATAATTCTATATACAATGCAACAGACTGAGATATATATAGATATATACTGTATATGAAAAGAAAAAAGCTATATATATATATATATATAGATATATATACGCACATATATTTATTTATGTTCATAAATACGTATATAGAACTTAATTTTTCATTTATTCATATATATATATATATTAAATTTTTAAGATTCTACGTTTGTTATGTGAACTATATGTGTATATATAAAGTGTGAAGTTAAAAAAATTGACGCCTTCTGCCAACACTCGACTTAATGACTTTTTGATTGCGCTCTCTATTTTGGTACGAGACGCGCACAAACTAGTCATTTACTATTCATGAACGCATCCATCTTGCTTGACGTGCGTCGTATTCGTACGACGCCTCTTTCGCTCGCAAATATATACATTTGGTTAGGCCATGAGAATGGCGTTATATAAAAAAATTGCTTGTGGAATTATTCAACATATTTACTTTCGCATCGATCAAAACGCCTAGCGCTCTTTCGAAAACGATCGTCATTTTAGCGCTATCGGCCCTTTAATTATTCAACTCTTCTGTACGCTCTATAAAGAAAGATGACACCGCTTCTAGCTCCGCCCTCTTCTTGTAGAAGCCGCCCACAAAACTAGGCCTAATTTGTTTATGGACGTTGCCTTTCATATCCGGCGTCCCGCTGATGCCTCGAGGGCGTCTTCTATCGACACTTTTACTCCGCAGTGTAAAGTGTTCCCGAGTTGAAAATCTTAAATATTCATACTTAACTGTAAAAACAAAATATTTGATATTAAAGGTGAACATTTTCACACGTTTTATTGTAATTAATCGTTGATGAGATACTCTCGTAAGCCGATTCATAATAAACCTGTTTAAAAAGAGAGATATTCGCTTTTTATGTGCATGTTGCAATAAATAACTCGTTTAATTATAGGGTGTCATTCCCGTAATAAATACATAAATATTCCGTCCCGTTTGATTATAACAAATACGACTTTTGAGAGCGAAAGAACTTTGTAAAAAAAAAAGAAGCATGAATCTACCACTTCTACGGATCTACGCCCGCTTTAAATGCGCTTAATTCGAACGTAAACATAGCCATTGTATTTCCAACGACACAAACATTCAAGTTCCAATGACCAATTCAAGGCAATGAAGTCGGCTGGAAAACGAACGTCATTCCTTTCTCAGGTGAATGGAAAAAGCTATTAGACGGCTCTTGAACGAAATATATTGACGAAAGAGTGAACTATTCAACATCTTTCAACATTTCCCTTCCATATAATAAAGAAAGAAAGAAACGGCCGTCAACTTTTAAATAGATTAGACGACCCCATTGTAAATATATAAAATAAGTAGGCGGTCGAATCAAAAAGAACGAAACCTACACATTTTTTTTTATTTATAACGGAACAGAATGGAGACGGGGGAGAGAAGGGAAGGGGGGTGGCGAGAGAGAAAGAGAGAGAAAGAGAAAGAAAGAGGGTGAGTGGAGAAAAACTTTTTGTTCTTTTCATTAAAAATTTGGAGAAAGAAAACAAATTATTATAAATAATATATTGAAATAAACAAATAATATAATGAAAGTATTGTTATATTACATAAAAAAATACTAGTAATTCTAAGCTTACATTGTTTTACTAATGAAAATGCATTAGGTAAATAATAAGAAATAAAAGAATTTCTTCCTTTTATTAAATAATAAAAAGAATGGTATATCTATATAAAAACATAGACATCGCAATTACAGAAGTATGTATAGACAATATACATCTATCTATGCTGAATATACTTTAGATTGATTGATTAAATACTATGCTGTTTAAATATACTAGATATATACAGTTTATATTAGAATATATATCTATATGTATATAAGCATATACACTGTATATTAAGTACATTTATACATATATACATACAAGTATTGATATAAATAGACAAGGGGGGGGGGAGGGAGGCAAGATAAAATAATTAAAATGTTTTTTGTTAACAAACTAAGAGTTCATTCTTTTTTTATTGTTAATTATGAATTGTTAAATAAATGAAATGAGTTAAAAGTTGATTATATATTATCACTTGAATATTATAAATATAGTTTTAGTTTTAAATAATTTGATAAAACTAAATGAATGGTAGTTTATCAATATTAATTAGGAAACAAATAAAGGACAATATAAGTCAGAATTGTTCGGTTCGTTACGTCATCCGTTTAATTACAATATAGTGGAATGAGTAATTTTGCTGGTAATGTATTTTGCGTTTAGTTGTTCGATCAATAATTTTGGAAGAGGAGTGAATATAACTAATTTCGCAGGAAGTGTATAATAAATGTATTGTCTTTATGAATTAAAATTTATCTACAACTGCTAAAAAAAAGCTAGTCTTTTAACTGTTAAAAAATTCAAATACGTGTTAATATTTCAAGATGAGACAGTGTAATTCTGTTAAAATCTTTATAAATCTTTCTGTTTATTAACAATCATTCAAGCTAACAAAACGTATTCTTATAAGGTGATACTTCTATATTTAAACTAAATATTTATTTTAATTAATTTATTATGAAAAATTACGTAAAATTATCTAAAAGCTTATTTCGTAATGTTTAATATATTTATAAAAGAAATATCATTAACTAGTGACATCTACCGGTACATTGTGGTACTACTCTAAAAGCGTTACATTTTCAAAGTTGTCAAGCTCTTTACTAATCTCTTTTAATCTTTCTAGTCTTTTGATGAGAATGCTAAAAGGAAAGCTTCAATTAAGAAAATCAATTTATGCGTTATAGTCACTTTCTAATATTAATAAAAGATGAATTAAAAAACTTGGTAAATGAATTAAGTGATATAATTGTTTAATTATTTTTATCTGTAATACTTTATCAATCGATCAGAATTATTCTCGCCTCATTGGCTAATGTCTCCCTACTCAGAAAATATCACCTTTAATTAAGAATTATATATGAAAAAACTTTTGATTATATAACATTTGATTATATAGGTCATATTTGTCGCTAATCTCCGTTTCCTATTTTTTTTATAAATATGACGTCCTCAACTGAGAAAGTGTATATTTCGTCAATAATTTCTATAGCATATCAATTAATTTCTAAGCTTCATTAGGATTTAGTACAATCTTCAATAATCTAAAATTTCCACCGAAATCAATTAAGATTACTTCTTGGAAATACTAAAAATTCATTTTTATATTTTATTGATATTTGACAAACTATTTACTATGTTTATCAATAGGGCATTTTAGACTTTAAAAATCATGAATTAAGCTCTAATGCGAAATAAATTACAATCGTTAAAGAAAACTCTTTTTCTCAATTGTCTTCTTTTGTTTAAAAGATTTACATAATTTAAAAGTACAAACTCCCCCTCATGCTTTCAATTTTCATAAAGAAAATTGTCCAAGGACAATGTTTTTAGATAGACCACGCAAAGAAAAACCTTTAGGCCAACCTAACGATTTCCTTCGAATTTTGCAAAAAAAAACAAGAGATATAAGTTGATATCGCCATCTATTGGAGTTATTCTATTTTATCTTGAGAATAGTCTTCCTTTTCTTGTCCGTGAATGAGAAAATTAAGTTGTATAGATCAGTGGCGTTGTCATTCGATTTGATTAATGAAAATTTCACATCGTATGTTAATTAGCTGTGGCTATTCTCATTGTATTGTGAGAATACCTAAACATTATTGACGGTCACCCTCTTCGTTGATTACATATTCCCTTTATATAAAATTTCGTCTTGAAAAGAGTAAAAACACGATAACCTGCCTAAGAGGTAGAATTTTTATTAATATTCTCTCGAATATAAAGGCGGTACAAAATAAATTTTGCCTGATTGATTGCGTTATCATGTAAGTGAACTGAAGGAAAATTTCATCAAGATTGCTTTAATGGGTAGCGAGAATTTGTCTGCTCCAACTCTGTTTCTCTCTTTTCTCCTAAAATTTCCTATATTAACTTGTGTTCCAAAATTGGCAAGTCATTGTCAGTCTTGGCATTTGTTAAGCCACTCGGTCTGGATACGAGCCCGCCTCCTGATCAAAATTGAAGTTTTCACCCAAAAAGGAAACATTTAAAGAGCATTTCTCGGTACTGTCTCTCAGTTGGCGTTTAATTTTCACCTTATCTCTTTAATCCTTCCTATTGAGATAGAAATATTTAAGTAATTCAATTTTTGCAACATCAGCAATAAATTATATAACTTAGTTTTCTTCTAATCGTACTATTATCATAGATAATCAGGAAGAATAATTTCCGTAGTTATTTATAAGATATATCCTATCTTAATTGGGTTTTAACCCTGAATGATTTGGAATCGAATGTTTACTCAATTCCAATTTGAAAACGCATCACGACAACACACTATTTTTCTTCTTTTAATATTCTTCTGTATATCCCTTTTTATATTGCAATTTTTTCTTCTCATTTGAAGAAATAAAGGGAAAAAAAGCTAAAAAAAATGCTTTTTGCGTAATAGAAAGACTTTATTTTTTTCCCTTTTTCCTTCTCTCTATCTTTATTATTATTCCATTCTGCTCTTCTATCTTTCAGTTTCGCCTTTTAATCACCATTCCTATGGAACAAAAAGATGATTTCCTACCGTAAATAATTTATATTCCCATACAAGCCTTAAACATTCGGGAAATTATAGCTATTTTATCAATTATAGAAAATTATGGTATGAAACGCAATTCCATTGATCATGGTAGGAAAAGGAAATAGTTTGCCTTGGCTACCAATGAACTACTACTATTTCTACTTATATAGTTTAACAAGAAATGGAGTAATAATGATATTACTATATGAAAATCATATTACATCAATATTTTATAATCTTCTTTTTCTTTTCAAACAAAACTTATCGTAATTTGATTTTTCCTTAAATATTGTGTGTAAAAGATTATCTTCATTATTGAAATTGTTATTATTACAGAAATATTATTACTATTATTGAATAAATGCCAATACTTAATCTAATTTCATGCAGTTTTTGATAGGTTGGATTAAACGACGTCCATTCGTTTCCATATCCTCCTCCTCCTCCTCCTCCTCCTCTTCTTTAGTACTTTGTTATTATTATTTAATAGACAGTAAAGTATTTGAATAAGAAATCAAACAAACGTAAAAAAAACAATTAAAAAGAACTAACCGAAGAGGATAAATAACTGTTTTATTGAATATTGAAAATAATAAAAGAATTATTGACAATAGTTTTTACATCTGAGAAACTATATTCTTTGAATAACGAAAAGAGTTAATAATTGATCAAAGTAAAACTCTACAGATATAATGTATATTTGTAATATAGAGGCGAGTGTGGCTTTACATGTAAAGATGTATAATTGTCTAAATAATATTAAATATACACGTTATATATATATATACATATATATATATTATATAATATATACATTTATATATGCATATATTAGGATATATATATGTATAAAAAGCACTAATAAAATCAGTTCTTATTGAGTATATTTTCGCTTAAGCTTGGTCTAGAGGGGAATTATTGGGGAAATAAACTTAAAATACAAATGAATAAATAATTGATAATCGTATATAGATTTTATTGTATACATATTCCAGGCCGCCTTATTTGCCAATCACTATCCAATTGTAAAATAATATTTAATTATTTCCTCCTTTTTTTCAATAGGCAAAAATATTCCAAAATATTGCAATAACTGTTAAAGCACCATAAACGATCAGAGCAACCCAACATAAGATTTGCGATCGGAGACTCTGACCGAACGACCTGATTATCAGAAATCCTATGGTTAATCCAATAAATGATCCCATAAGGTGACCAGCGTAGCCAACAGGAGGTGAGTTTGAAGTTGAGTACCTGTCCCACACTGCAAGGCCAACGTCAGTTGATGCTGTAACGTTCAAGGCGAAATGATAAATGATGTAGTGTTCTTACACGGAAAAATTAAATTTATGTGATACTGACATGTAATGAATATGGCAGCGAGTTTAACAAATCCAATTTCCACTTCTGAATAATTCTGCACGGGAAAAAAAGGATCAAATATTACGGAAAGAAAAGTAGGATTATTATAGTAAAATAGGTTTAATTACTGTAAGGATGTTGGCGAGATGGGCGGCCAGAATAGCATAAACGCCTCCAGCTGATCCCGCAAGACAAGCTGATTTATCGAATACGGATGTCGCTAATGAACCTAGAAAAATTAGATTCTCTAATATTGCATATTTCTACAGAAAGAAGAAAATTTGTTTTTTCTTTATTGTTGCCTACTAACTAGCTAAAATTCCGGACATGTATACTAAGCAAATTCTGGTCGAGCCATGAACCATTTCTAAAGGAATTCCGACAAGAATCTGAACAAGAAAATTAAAGGAAAGATGAATCCACCTGTTGAAAAAGAAATTAATATGTAGAGGAAGTGGATGATGAAAAGAAATAAGACTGAATAACGCCATCTATTGACATGAGCACTAACCCTGCGTGAAGAAACATATAGAAGACGAATCTCCAGAGTTCTTGCCTCCTATCCGGTGTGTACAGCAAAAATGATTGATTAGGCACAGAACCGCTTAATTTGAAAGACCCTTCTTTTATGGCATAATACAAATAGCAAACAATCTACAAAATTTCAATTCCTTAGCATTTATCTTCAATATAAATAATTCCACTCTATTACCTCCAAGATGACTACAAAAGGCACGAATACAGGTGGAGGGAAACAACGATAACGATTTCGAAAAAAGCATCGACTGTTTTCATCAACCAAATAGTCTGAAGAAATTTTAGCAACAAATCCAGAGAAACAAGATTTTCTATTATCCCGATGTAAGTTTGCAGTTCTGGTATATATCTATCTTGTTGGCAAATTAAAGAAAAACAGAAATCATAGTTTTTTTTTGTTTTTAAATCTATTTCACCATTTTTAACCTGTGAATCTCCAGTAATCTGATGATTACAGTTTAAGGCTCTCTCAAAGCTTGCGGTTCTTTTGATGCTTAACTATAAAAAGTGCACTTGAATTAAATGAAGTTATTTCATTGCAATTTGTTTGTTGGAGTGCTCTAAGGAAAATTCTCCTTTCATACTTTAAACTGTAGCTTTATAACCGAAATTTTTCAACAAATAGCAATCAGGCAATAAGTAAATATATTATACTTTGTATAGTTTGTATAAATATAAAGTATATAAATTTTATATTATATATTGTAAATATTCTTCTACTTCATAGATACGTAGTGGTAGTAATAGACGAAGCAAACGTTTGTCGTTACCCGACAAACCATACTCTTGGGATTGTGAATGATTAGCTAGACTTACTTTCAATTGGTGTGTCCACATTACTTATAATAAATAGTCCAGTTTGACCACATAAAAAGAAAGAAATTTTTCTGTCTCGAGGCAGATACCTTCGTAAGGAAACTAAGTATTTATTGCCAATAAATTTTCCCTACTAATATATAACTAGAAAATATATCTTGAGGTAAAAATCAAGTGTTTACAATGTTGAACGGCAGTGACAAAGTAAACTATTTTTAGAAAGTTATTATTCTCCGGTTGCTGATTGGCTAAAGTGGTTTTGGACAAGGTTTTTTATGGAAGATGTAAAGGAGCTATGAATGAAATTAACTTTTGTTACAGTTTCAAAAAACTAAGGGAATAATAACATTCCTTTAACAATCTCAGTGTTAAGTAGAAAATAACGACTTTCTAGAAGATAAACAAGTCTACTGTGAAGAGTACGCTTAATAATGTTATCCTTTTTAGACACAATAAGTTTTTTTATAGATGCTGATATATAAATATATATTGTATTATGCGTTCTTCTTATATTATAAACCACGTGTACAATATACGCATATAGACGTGTACACGTAATTCTTAATTTACATAATCTTTAACTATCGTACTTTATTTACTTTAAAGGAAGTGATCAATCTTTCCATAAGAGAAACATTTTCAGGGAAAATAATAAAATATAGCAAATAATATAGGTCATATTTTTATTGTATATCGAAAAAATTATTGTTATAACTAAAGAAATGTCATACTGACATATACAAATAGTGAATTTTCCCTTGCAAAGAATTCTTAAGTAACTGAAATTTAACGGACTACTATTGGTAATATATACAATATATAATATGTAAATATCCTCACAAGGATTTGATAATCCTTTTTGAATTACAAACATGTTACATTTATCTTTTATTAAATTGTATCGAATTTGATATTTTCTAGCTACTCTTACTCTAAAACCTAAATGAATCGTAGTATTAAATGTTTTATTATTCATAATCATATGCACTCAGCCGACACATAATAGTGTACAGTGATTTAATAAAGATTTAACTGACTTTATCAAGTTGCAGCAAAGAATTATGCCTTGTTCTTTCCTTTCGTTCCTTCTCTTCCATGGCTTCCAAGCGAGAAACATCAAATTCTGAGCGGAAATGGGAATCTCGGAAGTCGTCAACGCTAATTTGGCCGTCTTGTACATCGAACTGCACGAAAAACTTAATAATTAATAATCGCTTAAGAAAGTCCAGTAATAACAATATCGGTAATAAAGAACAATAATTGACAGCCAAGGGGTATGTTAGCTATTTAACGATAATAAAAGCTATGGATTGGTACTGTAAAAAGAAAAGCTTATATGCTAAAATTCAATCGTATTATCCTTTGAGTTTCCTTTAGATTTGATGTGGATATTTGACCCTCAGTTGCTGTCTGTCATTTTCCCATACCAACGCACGCTTACTCTATCTCACATGCACTTACGTAAATAAAAAAAACAGTACTTCAACCATAAAAAAACTTTTAACAAATGATTTAAAAGAAATCTATTTTCATATAAAAACATAGACATTTTAACAAAAACACACACAAACATATATACTGTATATATATATATATATATATTAGTACGTTGTACAACCTCTCTCTCTCTAGCTCTCTTTCTTTCACTCACTCTCTCACTCTTACCTAATCCACCTAAAGTCGTTTTCTGCCACAAAAAAAAACATAACAGCGATCAATTTTTTGTTCGGCCGTCGTATTTCTCTGTGCAGTTATCGACGGCAATAATCTGCCGGCAAACAACTGTCGGTGGGCGATACACACATATATATAAATATGGAATAAAACATATCTATGTATATACAGTTTTGTTATTATAGGAAAAGTTCTTGTTTTTAATCGTATAAAAAATTACAGATTAATTGTTTGTGGTAATTCGACTTAACGTCATCCGATAAAAGTTTTATATAATAAAAATCAGGGTAATTACGGACTGTGCGCTGAATCGGAAAACCCGCGACTTATCTTGCAATATTTCATACTATCCTAAGCCCAGATGACAAACGTAAAACGATGCTCGCATGCTAAAAAGCGAGTCGGCTGTATTCGGCCGCGTTACTCGCTCCTTCTAATTGAATAGATTGACCTGGAAAGAGGCTAAGGAAGACGACAACATTCTTAAAAAGAATTGAGATGAAAAAAGGAATACGCTGACTTATTCTACCTTACTAAAGAATGTTCTCCATTTCTGTAAAGAAAAAGAAAATAAAAAAAAAAATAAAACCTAAAAAGCTGACGTCACCAGAAGACCGTCGTGCATACTAAATCAGTTACTTACGTCCTGTAAAAGGATGTTTGCCGAATCTGCAACATCCTTTTCATCGTAACTGTTCACAACAGCCAACGCATTTAACTTTGCATTTACAGACGCCGTCTGTTCAGTCACGTGGCCCATCGACTTTTCGCAGTCATCGGAGAAAAAGAAGGCTAATAAAGGCGACAGCGTTCCGTTTTCGACGCTCCTCTATCGACTGACGTTCGGTCGTCAGACGCTAGAGGGCGTATTTCGTTACGGATGATAGAAATATGTGTAAAAATTCTCTCCCCTGAAGCGTGATGGACGAGTAATTAGACGCAGTTCGACCGAAACGTTGCCATTTAGAGTGCAAATCACGTGATCAATCGGACATGCAAGTTAAAATGAAATACTTTTACGATCTATTTTCATCTCTTTCATTGGTGAAAAATATCCTTTTATATCATTTGAAACTGTAGATACACTGACACTAGAGAGCAATTGCTTTCATGAATATTTCAAAAATGCAATGGAAAATATAATATGAAGATCAGAAAACGCTTGAAATCAATTATTCAAACTATTCATTCGGTTGATGAGAAGTTCGTCTATAAACACTTTACCATCTATAAACATTGATTTATTATGTGTACATCTTGACGTTTATTTAAAGTAAAAACAAATGTTTAGAGCAATATTTAGACCAGTAAACTTTAGTTTATATACTAAAGAATAGGTGGTCGATCATTTACTATTCCAGGAAAGTGATGTAAGGACAAGCGTTGAGATTAGAATCGAAGTGTCTCCCTGGAAAATACGATATATGGTAATGGTTCGACAGAAATTGGATTTAGATATTCCCTCGGTTATGTAGTAGCTCCGATACCCAAAAGAGGGCGTCTACTTAAAGGAAAACGCCATCTATATACTCAGGTTTTCGAATTTGCATTAAGGCAATGTTAAGATAGATAATTGACATATATTGACTTTATTTGAATACAATATTTATACCATATTCTTAATAAAAATAGTAAATTAAGTCCCGGAAGAATACTATATATATACATGTATATCATTTCACAAGTTATGCCACCTATAATTCACTGTTGTAATAAAAAATAATACAGACTGCAAAATTTAAAACAGAAGCGTTCGTTGGTTTACAATTTGATGAACCAGGAGACCCTACGACATCTGTCAGTTTATGATAAAGTCGGTCCCCTTTTACTGTACTAGTATATATCACTACTCCAGTCCTCCGATGGGACATTCTGGGACTATTAGGCTTTCGGCACCTGATGATAAATGTCGTGAAAATATAATCAACATCAATCGTTTAGTTTTTTTTCCTTTTTTTCCTATTGGATTGAAAATATATATATGCCTATGGCAATACACGTTTTCTTTTCGTCATCTGCGTAGTCGTTTCGACGCTCGAAGCGAAGAAAACAAGGCTTATTTATGTGAAAACTGTTGGAAGAAACAGACTTTTAGCGAGCGTCGAATTACGTGGTAATCAACGTGGAGACCGACTTTCTAATTAATAAATAGTCAAACTCTTATAATCGCCCACCTTTTCCCATTTACTTTTCCCTGTGAGTTTTTGTAGCTATGGCTAAAGTGTAAAAAAGAATGTGTGGAACAAGTTGCACGATTGTTTCGAAGCAGTATAGAACAAAGACTCAACGCCTCTCGTACATCCTTTGATGTGGCGACGCTCCGATGACGCTCTCCTGCTTGTTAGCTTCCGACATCATCAATCGTATAGCGCAACGTCGTCAGCGAAGTGACGCCTGTCGTCCGCGCTATTAGACATCGCCGGCTTAGCTGTCCAGCTCGTACTTACACGCAGAGATATTGAACGAGGATATAAATATAAACGACAAGAGAGATCGAAGAGAATCTATAAGGTAAACTTTTATTTCGTTTCTTTTACTTTCTCCACTTGTATGTTATATTCTATAAGATTTCAAGAAACTTTCGTTTAGTCTTAAACATATCACGTATGCAGTCCCAATCATTCAATTTACCGTAAAGAGACGCCTTTTTACACATAAAGAGAATGAAATCTTGTAATTCGACGTGAATTGACGCAATCTTATACGATTTCTAATGCATTTTCTTGACATGTGCGAATGTATGTAGTTCAATTTTTGCTTCCTTTAAGCTTCCTTTAAATTCCAAAAAAAGGATTTATACTTAAAAAAGGAAAGGTAATAAAAAACTTTTATGTCTATAAAACAAGCTTCTATATTAAAAACTTAAAAATATTTAATAAAAATCACACCTTATTCCATTGTAAATATAACAATAGCATCGGTAACATTGTCTAATCATATTACCTAACTGTTTGCCGTTATTAAAAGAGTTTGTAAGAACATTATGAGTAAAATATGTTAGGAATAAGCAGACTAGGGAATATAAAGAGATGCTAGTTGTACATGTTGCATAGATTTATATACAGAATATACCTGTATGTATATATATATATATATATTGGTACTTATAAATATGTATTACAAACTATTTTATTATATTCTGCAGATTTGTAATCTCAAATCATTAATAATAAAGTAGAATTGGATTTTTTGTATAGTTTATCTTTTCTCATAACGATTAACAAAATCATAAAATTTATCTATAAAAACAATCTCCTAGAAGAAGGACTGAAGGTGTCTTATAATAGTTTGTACAGATGTACATTTATCACTAAAGCTTACATAAAGTATATGTTTTTGATGTGGTCATTTATCTTCATTATCAGAATTTTCATTATTTACTATATCCCACCAATGAGTATGTTCTACCTTATTTGCAGAACTTCCTAGAGACTATATAATATATAGTTGCAAATCAGACAAACAAACAGGCGTATAACGTGTCTTTAGCGCCTGGATTGTAGAAACACAACTTTTCTTATTAGTTGATAAATAGCGTTATAAAAGGAAAAAACTGTGAAATTTCTCCACCTAATCTTTCACTAAGAAAGGTACAATCGATGATTATCTTGTACAATTGATGGATATGTATATGCTAGTAATATACATATCAATGAAAACGGTGTTATATAGTTCTAATTATTGTCAGAACGTGACATTGCATTAATTCGATAAAACCAAGATGAGCAAATTTCCACCGGCTGCTGTCTTCACAAGCACAATATAAATACGTGTATTTGTATACACAAAGTATACATTCTTACTACTTTATACATAAATTTACGGGCAACTATTGGAAATGAGGAAACAAGAAAGGCTTTATACATGGATAAGTTTACAGTATATGTATATGCGTTAGATAACTATAAACTAAATAAATAGACGAAAATATCGTTTATGTGGCAGACAATACGACGTACAATACTCTGTATATGTAGATGTATCTCTCATATTGCTTTTTTTTATTGTACTTGAATTGTTAATTATTATTAATAATAGTTATTGATAATTGGAAATTTTTTATTTCAACTCTATTTAGGCCTACATTAATTTTTGTTTAACTTTTTGTAAAATAAAGTATTATTATCATTTATCAATAAGTTTTCTTTATTTGTTTCAAAACATAAAAACGCACCGTCAATACGCATTAGACATGTCTCCTCAGAATGAAGAGTTTATATATATATATTAAGGAAAGTAATTTTGTATGTATGGATGCGTAATGCCTGTACAAGGATACTTACTTTCAACTATAAAAATATATGGATATAAATATGTCCACCTTTTACATTCACAGACTCGTAAAAAGTGAATTGGAGAAATATATACTTCTTTACTTTACCAAATGTACTTTCCGTATTGTATATGCAGTAAATCTGCATTAAAGAAAAAACTAGATGGGATTGTAGTTTGTATTTCTTACTACTTTCAGTTTTTTTTTTGCGTACAGGTATTGTGTTGAAGAACGTTTTTATTACATAAAGGCGTTTCTTATTATTGTTTTTCCTTTGTTCGCTGTTTATATTGTTCCATGTGGTAGATTCCATCCGTGACGACAGTGAAATAATCTAACTTGATAATTCTGTTGATAGAAAGCTGCTGAATTATTCAAAACTCTGACACGAAAAAATTGAAGGTCGCACAAACACTGTAATAGATTCGTTTTTTTTGATAAATGACTGTTTGCGAATATGGCTAACATATCATATAGGTGGCGTTAGTATCAGATAAGAAATATGAATATCTGAGAATTTACGATGTTAATAGACACCGTAGTTGAGTACTCGTTAGAAACCCTTTCATCTTTGAGACTTTGCACTAAACGTACCTGTAAAAACGCGCGCACATCACCATTTTTTTCTCTTGGTGCAATTATACGTACTCAATCTATAAGTCATTATATCGACCGGAAGTAATATCGTCAGGAGGCGTCTAGTTAAGTATAAAACAAGTCGCAGTGGCACTACAAAGCGTCTAATTCACTTTAATCGTTTCGAATCTGCAACGATCAAAAGCCTTCTTTCTGAACTACAGCATTGCGATTTTTAATAGAAAAAAACAATATCTAGCGTGAAACGAGACGCTATAAGTAAAATAAAAAGAAAACACAGCACGCACAATGAGTGTACTAATACTCGTGAAGGCGTGATGTTGACAACGACGAAAAATGTTTTATTTCTCCCAATATACTCTACATCTGTAACATTCTGTTTTTGGGCGTCTAATGTCCCATGCCGGGCGTCTTCGTTGTGAAAATCGATGACGCCTGAAGGGCTTGTTTCCGACTAGTTCTACGCCTCATCAACGCTCATTTAGGCTTGATTTGTACAGACTGGCGCTAAATTATAGGAAAGTCAATGTCTTTGCCGCCTTTTCTTCCCAAATGATGGCCACCTTAACTTCGTATATCAACGTTAACAGGCATTCAAGTTTATCACAGTTTTTTTGCTAGTTTTTGTACTTAGGAAAAGTTGAGAGTAGTTTACGCTAATAAGGTTTCACCAATCAGGATCAGGTATAAATCTCGTTCACAGTTAATTAGTTATGCATTCGTACGATTAATTGTTTTAAATTATCAAAGAACCGTGCGAGAAAAATCTATAATCTCGTCGAGCTTTTTTTGTTTGTCAAGTGCAACAAACAATGGGCGGATTTTTTTAGATAGGGGTGCGATACGTCATTGATTTTTTGTTGAGTCAAAGCGATATTTATAGCGTAGTTCGAAGAGTTTGCCAAGTTTGCCACAAGCCTCGACGTCTCATCACGAGTGTGTTTGCCCACTTCCGAGCTAATATTTGAGAAGAGACGGCGCTATTTGTTTGAGGAAGTTTGCTCTCTATCACCGTTTCGTATACGACAAACTTTTGTTTGTCAATTAAGTATCGAATGGCTAGGAAACGTTTCCGCTTTTTATTATATAATTCACGCGTCAAATTTTATACTTGTAGTTCCCATTGATCTGATTTATAAAGCGTTAGAAGAATGACTAGATGCCAGCCCATCCCTCAAGGGTCGTCTGGAGGATGCAAAAGTCATCTTTATGCTTCATGCTTGCTCTTTTCATTATTCTCCTCGAATTTGCCCTTTACTTTTTTCACTTTTGGTCACGTACAAATACAATACGTTCACTCCTTTTTTTAAAAAAAATGAACTCTATAATTTAACAAAAAAGATATTCTAATTAATCGCACAAACTATCTCTTCAAACATCAATTTATAGACAAAAATAACTTATATAAACACATGTATTACACTTAAATGTACTTGAAGTTATAAATTACAAAAAATCTTGTGTTAGAACTTAATAATCTGAGGAGAAATGAGGCTGTTTCATCTAAATAAAGCGAGTACAAGAACTTTATCAGATGCCCTTAGCACCGATAGTCGCCAACTGCATCGAACTGCGCAAGATAACAATCAGGCGAGTCTGGCACAACTAATAAGATTTGCCTTGCCGCCGTTTTTGCAAATGAACGAAGAGAAAAAGGCGTTGGTTTTTTATTTTATGCTATATTAATTATAAATATGACTAGTAGATAATTGGAAAAAGATTTTTTACAATCATCTTGTATTTCCTTTAGAAAAGGCGCAATTAAAACTTGATTACGTGACTGTCCGTCTGACTGGTCGGACCATCAGAGTGGTTCGCAGGCATGCGCGCTTTGAAGAATCGCCGTCGATCGATACGACGCTCGTTCGAAGTAATATGCGGTATCGAACGGAGAAAAACGTTCGGAATTATTCGTGAATACTGTCGTAAAAAGCACGCAACTACGTGTAAGCCTATAAACTAAAGAGAAGCCTCAGCGTCTAATGCAATATTTACGTTTACATAGTAATACGTTACTTTTAAAGATACGCTCCCTGCTAGATATGAATAAACTTGACAAATATCTCCACATCTATAAAAATGTATCGTATTCCTGTACAGTATACACAGTAATACACTATCTAAATATCGCAGATTACGTATATGCGCAACGGTTACGTGGAAGCATCTAAAAACCGCTCAAGTGTATATGTTCAGATCTATAGTCACTCATCAATAATAATTGAACTTCGATATAGGTTTCGATTGAGTGAAGCTTCTTTGAACATTCTCATTGCCTGCAGCGTCTCATTGAGCGTCTCTTTTGCCAGTAATTGTGCTGATTAGCAGTACGTTGATCAAGTAGACCGACTCAAGGAGACGCTTATGGTTAAACTGTTCCGCAAGGTCGAAGTCATAATTGATTGAATAATTAAGGCAATAGACTCGAAAAACAACAAAAGTAGTCCTACATAATTGACGTCTCAAATCGTTTGAGACTGAATTAAAAAAGCGACAGTCCACCCAGATCACGCTCCTGGTCAATGATGCCAATTAAGTTGGCAAACGTTCGATTGGTTTATTCCGCATTCCTTTACAATTGGGAAAGCGCGCAAAGCAATCATCGTTGACAAGTAGTGCTAATATAAAGTTGAAGGCGACAATGATAGACAGCAAAATCATTCCTGCACATTCTATATTCACTTCGATCCGGCCTTCTCATTAACCTATTATCCTTCATTATCTCCCTTGTTCTCTAACTTTACTTTGCAGATTCATGCTGTGCCTCGACCGCCGGGATCGTTCGAATTAGTCACGTGATTAGCTTGTTTCGAATCGTTCGAACGGTCGTAATTGGAACGGTTGTCAGAGGATTTGCACTCGGCAATGTACTAGCTTTTCTTGTTCTCTTTTTATTCGCTGCCCGTAGCCTTAAAAAGAAGTCGGGGAAAAAATGTTGCTTCTATACCTTTACTTCTTTTTTAGCTCTTAGTTATTTTTTTTATCTTGTCGCAGGCCTAAGCATACATACTTACGACATTAGCGCACATACTTATATATTCATTTATATATATATATATATACATATATATCAGTATATAGTTGAATATTTATATAGTATAAATAGATAATTTTCTTTTCTACTTCATCTTTCTCTCTATTTCCTATTCTTGCAATATTTCCAAGTATTGTTTTACTTTATTTGATAGTTTAATGCTCACAACGTAACTTACTATTTCATAAGTCAGATATATGTAAAATCTTAATAGAGCAGCCGATGCGTCTCATAACATCATTAAAGAAAAAAGAAAATTGCTGTAATGCACTATAATTATCTATAATCAATCCAGATGTTTTAATGCAAATTTTTATAAGTGCATAAGAAAAAATGTATCGTCTTTTACATTTAGTGCAACGCATCTCATTTCTACGTGTAATTGCTTTTATTTTAAATATTTTAAGAATATGTCACCATTGAAAATTTTTTAAAGATTTATGAGTGCAAAAACTCCTATCAATTTTTATGACAAAAGACAATGAAAAATGTAATGGAAGCTAAAATGAAAGAAGCGTCCGAAGAACGTCATTGTTCATTAAGACCGAGAGTATAATGAGCTTTGATTGACGGCGTAATAAACATACCCAACGCTTACTAATGTTTACATTGAATCTCTCGAGATGCTCGCCACCTCACGCCATGCTAATGAGTAGAAAGTCTCTGTCTTTATTTTATATATATATATAGTTTTTCCTTTTATATACGTTATCATTTTCTTTTTTTGTATTTTTTATTTTCCCTCCCACTCTCAATACATAAATAAAAATTATATTTAAGCCTATTTCGTTATTGAAAAGCGAAGATTGACTGTTTCTTCGTCCGTCATCGAATACATTCACAAACATTTATATCGATTGGCCTTTGGATGCTTTCGATTTTTCATAAATACAATATATAGTGCATATATATATATATATATTCTTCTGTGTGTATGTGTGAGCCTTCCCTTGTGCATATATCATGCACACCAATGCTACAGGAACAAAGTAAGATTTAAGCATCCAGTTTTTGACGTGGGTGTAATAAACATTTGATACCTTCTTTTCATTGTATACGCATCAAAATATGAAGTGATTTCAAAGAGTTTTGTGAAATATTTATGAGCCGTATACTTTATTATTAGTCAGAAATGTATATTTACTTATTACAAGTGTGAAGTAGAATTATCTACAGCCAAGCTCCTGAGGGTACTCTATCAATTTTCAGTTATTCAATTAATTTAAATGCTAATTGAAATATTTCAATTCCGTCTTTACAAGATTCTATATAGTCATTCCAAGTCTAGAAATTAGAAAAACAAAATATATCAGTATTATAAATATACACAAGTATTTTATATTCCTGAATACTTGTCAAGCATAAAAATGCGAGCCAACGTCGTTAAACGAACCAAGTGACGCCAATTGACCAATAGACGCCCATTGCGGCTGTGACGTCACTATCGATACGTCGGTAGCGCGAGGACGACGTTCGAACGCCGCCGTTTTTCTTACAGTTCGTAAAAGGTACTTGCTCTATACCAATTTATGTTCCTATTATTCGTTTATATAACCTACCAACAGCAAGGTCAAGGACAATATCAATGAATATTCTTTAATCCTTAAAACAGATTGCATCAATAGAAGGAGACGATCGGAAGAATTCTGCTCGAAGTGCCGCTTCTCGTCAAACTTTGTAAGTTTTCTCACCGTTAAACCTATTTCGTAAAAATATGTATCCCTTAATAAAATACCTATACATAGATATTGTTTCAATCATTTCTAACATAAATGTTTATGTTATACGTTTATTGTACTTACTTTGGTCGAAGGATAAAAAAGGGAATATCTAAATTAACATAAGAGAGAGAGAGAAAAAGAAAAAGGAAAAGCAAGAAAGAGAGAGAGAATCGATTGACTTTTTTATTATTGAATAAAAAGAAGAATAAAAGTATAAAAGTAGAGATAATAGTTTTCGAAAAAAGATGCCGCAAGGAAAAAAGGGAAGATTTTTATTATGCAAAATAGCAGGAATTACAGAGCTAAAAAAAGAAGTTTTTACGGATGACAAGTGACAAGCGTTTGCATGAATGTGTCTGATTCGTTGGGAAGCGCTTAACGTTTTTTTTGACTTCCATTTGCGACGTTTTTACGAATTCGATCGAGACGCCAGTCGGTTGATCAGAGTGTGCGAAGCGTCTAAAAGGCGTCTATTTGATAGCGGATTACATTAGGTTCGGGCAGCTGCGTTCGTTTGCATATATAGTTGGGGAGTGTCGCAATTCCTAAGGGGGCAGCAGCGGGACAATATTCGAATGTAGGCTGCAATATATTCATTAAATTTTATGTTCAAAAATTTGGATCAATCAAAAAATTAAACTATTATATTTCTTTCTTACTAAAACAGGACGTATTGTACATGAACGTAAATACGTCGCCGCTGCTGCCTTCAAGGGGGTGATGAAGAGAAGCAGAACGGAGAAGATATGGCACTGAACTTTATCTACAGAATCCCTAACTTTCGCGTCCCACTACTAAACAAGGAGTCACACGATGTTATCAGTAGTATTGACGAAAAAGTCCACGATCCTATGTCGCAGCGCAGACTCGTACTCATTATTGTCTGCGTTGCTCTTTTACTCGATAATATGCTGTATATGGTCATTGTCCCAATTATTCCGATTTACTTGGGAGAGAAACAGAAAGATGTTCAGACATCGCCATCACCTCTTTCAACCGCTGCTTTATCATTAACTCTTAACTGGACAAGTACACTAAAGCCAGAAAGAATTAAACCCACCGATTCACCTCATAGGGAAGAATCGAGTAGTGGTGCTATCGGCCTCCTTTTCGCCTCAAAGGCCATAATTCAGCTGTTAGTTAATCCATTTTCCGGAACGGTCATGGATAGAGTGGGGTATGATCTGCCGCTCTTCGTAGGACTAATGATTATGTGCCTATCAACAACCATTTTCGCATTCGGAAGTAGTTATACAGTCCTGTTCATTGCTAGAAGTATGCAGGGTATCGGTTCAGCCTTTGCTGATACGGCTGGTATGGCTATGATAGCAGATATATACGTTGAGGAGACAGAAAGAACGAAAGCGCTGGGCATATCCCAGGCATTTATAAGCTTCGGCTCCTTATTCGCACCTCCCTTCGGCGGTATACTCTATGATTTTGCTGGTAAATGTATACCGTTTATAGTTCTGGCGCTTGTCGCGTTAATCGATGGTTTCCTTATATTCCTCGTAATGAAACCCAATAGAAGGGAGAGGAAGCAAATGCAGTCCTCTCTTCCGAATGCCACACCAATCTATAAACTCATTCTCGACCCTTATATAGCAGTTTGCGCCGGTGCACTAGTTATGGCCAATGTTTCTTTAGCCTTTATCGAACCGACTATAGCCCGGTGGATGGCGGATACAATGCAGGCCAAGGGATGGGAAATTGGAATGGTGTGGCTGCCTGCCTTCTTTCCACATGTTCTCGGCGTATATCTGACAGTAAGATTAGCAAAAACCTACCCAAATAAGCAGTGGATTCTTACAGCTGCTGGTTTGACTATGGAGGGAATTAGTTGTTTAGTTCTACCATTCTGTACGAACTTTTTTGCCGTTATTGTACCTTTGAGTGTTTGCTGTTTTGGAATTGCGCTAATCGATACTTCCGTTTTGCCGATGCTCGGTTTTCTCGTCGATAATCGTCATGTATCCGTTTATGGTTCCATTTACGCAATAGCTGATATATCATATTCTCTTGCATATGCTTTTGGCCCCATAGTGGCAGGTGGAATTGTTAGAACTATCGGCTTTACCTGGCTAAACGTTGGTATTTTCTTCTCCAATATACTATACGTCCCAATACTCCTACTTTTGCGCAATGTATACGATTATAAGCAATTCGAAAATGAAGGTGCCGTTCTAGTAACTGCTACGCCTGGAACTGGGCCAGATGTCGATTACAAGACTTATATTGTAAATGATGAAAAGGAGGTTCCGAATGGAACAATGAATCATCTTAAACTAGACACAAATGCTCCTCCACCTTCCTATGGTAGTGTCTCCAATGCACCTCCTCCGGCAAGGCCTCCCCCACCGACTGTCGGAGCAGAATCAAGGAATAGTTTGGGAGATTTGGTTGATTTGAACGATCGTACAGACTTGAAATAAAAAGTTCTACAGATTATCGAATACTACAGTTCCAAATATTCCCTTTTTTCCCTTATAGCGGCCAGCAGATGTATTCTCTATATACCAGCCATTTAGTTCAATTATAATAAGAGATAACTTTGTTTTAGTTAACTAATCTAAATTTTGTTTTCTTGTGACAAGATAATTAATATTCGAAAAGTATATTAATACTATAGGCTTTATAGTTGACGTTTTAAGCATTTTTAACTTATTATAACCTATCCTTTCTTCCTCTTTTCGCACTACTTTTTTCCCTTCAAAACAAATCGTGTGTGCAAGGCAATACTCTGTAAATAGGAAATATTAATTGTCATAATGTTGTTTAATTATTCTATATAAATATGAGGAAAAACAAAAAGATAAAAACGTAAAAAATTACTTGTAAATATGATTTATTAGGAAATTACCTGATATAAATAAACCATGTGTATATGTTAAAGCACGTTTAATTATTTTTAAATAAATATTATAAGTAAATAAAACCAAACAAAAATGAAAGATATATTGGCAATTATAGCTTCACAATTAAGTTTAAGATGCTTTTATTGTGCTTTAAGAGACTTAGCAAGAACTTCACGTGAAATTGATAAAGCTTTGTCATTAATATAAATAATTGAGCTTTCTCGCTTTCTCCTTTCTCGCTGTCTATCTCTCTCTGTCTTTAAAATGAAAAAAAAAGCAATCCTATTTATGGAAGTGAAGAAATGATAAAGGACGCCTATGAGAAATAGATGCCTAAAGTGACGCCCGGGACGCGTGCTTGCCCATCGGAAACGCTTGTTTGTTAGCGTCGTGCCCTGTTTACGCAATTTGTTGTTGGTCGTAAGACGTCAAGCTTGATTAGTTACGTGATTCTCCAGGATACCATTGTGTTCGATTATGCAAACATACTAAGATGAAACAATACCTAATAATGCACTGTGGTTTTTTCCCTTGTTAAATATTCTATAATCCATCTTTCTATGATAAAAAAAGGACAAGGAGGAAAAGAATAAACTTGTTTTTTCAGATTCATGTCACGTCCGCAGAGATCCCCCCATCCTGTGAAAAAGTACGTCGAACGCGTCGCGTCGTTGGATATAGAAGAATACCCACAGTGGGATTTAAATGTAAGACTCTTTAATTAAGGGGTTAAAGAAAAAGAGAATAAAAAGGCTATACAGGTCTTATCTTTAACCGATTATACAGAAAGAATTGCCGAAACTTCCCGTTCCGGATGTCGATGTAACGCTTGATAAGTATTTGCGCTGTATACGACCATTGGTAGGTGATTCCCAGTATGAGAATACAAAAAGATTGGTTGGGAAATTTCGAGAGACGGTCGCTAACGATCTGCAAAGCGAGCTACTCGACTACGCGAATCAAGTGGAAAATTGGGTGCGCCTCTTTTGGTGCAATTCGATTTTGCTAATAACTCTAATTAATTTATTTTCCCGCTGTTAGGCATTCGATTTCTGGTTGGAAGACATGTATTTTAAAAACAAACTCGCTCTTCCGGTCAATTCTAACCCCGGAATGGTCTTTCCAAGACAGAATTTCCCTGAAAAGAGTGACGCCTTAAGGTTGTGCCAAAAAATGCTTGCGGCCGATTAGCGAGACGATTGCCTGAATTAGTGGGTTGAAGGTCTTATCGCTCGCGAGCGCCGCCTATATAATTGTTTTTCTTTGAAGGCACCTAATAATCCTATTGTTCTTTATTAAACGCCTTAATCGCTTGTAGATTCGCCGCCAGACTTATTTCGGGTATTTTGGATTATAAGCTTGTGATTGACTCGTAAGTTGATCGTAATACATTATATCTTAGCGCTTTCTATATAAGCAACTTAAACCCTTCTTAATCTCAAGAAAACAACTTCCGGTCGATCGCGCCCGGCATAGCAAGAAAGGACAACCATTATGTATGGAACAATATTATAGATTATTTTCAACTTATCGGGAACCCGGCATCCATAAAGATTCTCACGTATATATGTCTACCACCGGCAATATAGAACCGGAACACATTATTGTTGCATGTAATAACCAGGTAGGATAAAATAATAAAATGACGATAAACAAAGGGGAAATAGGATATTTGTCTCATTTCATTTTTAAAAGCTCTTCCCGCTGTATCTAAAACATAATCGAAGCCGACTAAGTGTTGATAATATTTACGCACAATTGAAGAGGATCATGACCCTTGCCGATGAAGGAGATGCTAACGAGGAAGTGGGAGTCTTAACCAGTTTACAGCGAGATAAGTGGGCTGAATGTCGGTTGAAATTGATGGAAGGTTAGCGCGGGAAATAATTATCTAGTTATACGTATAAAGGTAAAAAAGAAATTTCTTGATCGATTGTAGAACCGGTCAATAAAAGGAGTTTAAGCCTGATAGAGAATAGTATCTTCATACTTTGTATTGATCATACGCTACCGGCCACATTCAATCATCAAACGACCGGAAAGAATCGTGACGACGTTTCTCAAGCCCTTCAGATGCTTCATGGGCTTGGAAGCTCCTTTAATTCCTGCAATAGATGGTACGACAAGACTATGCAATTTGTTGTTTGCATGGATGGAACTTGCGGTCTTAATTACGAACATTCCCCTGCAGAGGGCATTGCTGTTGTTCAGCTTATAGAACATCTTCTCAAATATATGTACGTCGACTAGAGACATCTACAGGTTAATAAAAAAAATTGTTTATGTTATCTTTTCTTGCAGGGATGAACTGCAAAAGCAGAAGTTATGTAGATTGATGTCATTGACGGATCTGGATGAGCCACAGAAGTTAAACTGGGAATTGAAGCCAGAAATACTAGATGAAATTCAACTCGCCCGTAACAGAATCGATAAATTAATCGAATCGCTCGATTTACACATACTCCGTTTTTCTGACTATGGAAAAGAATTTGTTAAGTCTCAAAACATGAGTCCGGATGCTTTTATTCAACTGGCTCTTCAGCTAACTTACTACAAAGAGTACAAGAAATTGGTCTCAACTTACGAAAGTGCATCAATTAGAAGATTCCGTTTTGGTAGAGTTGACAATATACGAGCCTGCTCTTCAGAAGCCCTTGACTGGGTTCGAGCTATGGTTGATGAAATTCAAGTTTCGGTTAGACCAGAATAAAAAGAGAAAAGAAATAATTCTTTTCTCCTCTCATAGTGTTTTATTAATTTTGTCCCTTTGGAAATTTTATCAGGAAGAAGAAAAGATGTCATTATTTCGAAGAGCAATGAATAGACAAACAGAAATCCTTATGGACGTATGACGTTTTATTATACTTTTAAATACGGACACTATTTATTTAAATACTTAACATAGTTTTAGTATAATTAACAAAAAAAACATACAATAACTTTATTTTAGGCTATACTTGGATACGGAATAGATAATCATTTATTGGCACTTAAACGTTTATCAGAAGAGAAGAACCTTGGAACCCCCGAGTTATTTCTTGATGAAAGTTACAAAATGTCGAATCATTTTACCCTGAGTACAAGCCAGGTAAAAATGACCTTTTGCTTTTCCCGTTTTACTGTACACCTTTCCGTTTTTAATTTATTTGTTAATTTTTTTTTTTTTAAGTTTACAATGTATGCCTCCTTTGTCCACACCCCTGCCAGTTTATCTTTTAAGTTTATGCAGCATTCTTGAATGCCGACCAAAGTTTGTATATGTATCCTGCCAATGTTCCAAACCTGATCCTCTTGCGTATTGATACGATCCGATTGTGACTCTTCCAATTAGACGTTCCTTCTCCGTGAGGCTTTCGATTAAATCCAATCGAATACTATAATCCTCCAAATTCGTAAGAGATATTTGAAATTCATAAGTATCTTCCAGATTAATTAATTCTTTCATATGCTTTTTCTCAGTTAAGAGGCGATCTTTCTTATGGCCATGCTCGAATAGTGTTAATTTAAAATAGGCTTCAGAAGTTGTTGGTAGTCCATCGATTACCCGAATAGGCTGAATGATTATAGAATTTGTAGTTAACATCAAAGATACTTCTATTTCTGAGGTCTTTTTTTCGTCCTTTAATTGAAGATTGGGTAACAATTCAGTTGTAAAGTAGCGTTCGTCCTCTATTTCTTCAAGGGGAACAACTTGATGACCCAATTCATGTCGAATTCTATCTCTATCAATTCTATAAGCAGAAATTCTGATACGATAATTCTTCGAACGTTTCTTTAGCTTTAAAAGAGAAAAAAATGAATTAATAACCTCATTTAAAGGAAATTGATTTTTAATTAAAGAGGATACTTTAATCCTCGAGAGAAGAGTAATTATTAGTAGTACTATAAATAGTTCTTCTAAAATATACACTTTTAAATATCTATATATAAAAATGTGTTTACCTGAAAATAGAGAGTCTCATTAAATGTAATTACGTTAGATCTATCGATCGTTTTTGTTTGTTGACGCTTTATTTCTTTATTACCATCATAGAGGAAAATGTTAACGAAAACTCCCTTCGTTAGAGGCTCTTCAGAGCTAGTTATCTCATTAATACAGATAACTTTTAATTCGATACAATTTGTATCCTTCTTTAGGAATAATGAGATAGTCGGTACAGTTCCCCTCCTAATATCTTCGTCACTTAAATAAATTTTATATATATTCAGTATCTATATACATATACCATATATACTAATATAGATAGTAAATATATATACTTATATAGTCATGAATTACTGGTCATACTTTTACATATTATTAATGAATGAGAAAAAAAACATGTTTTTCAGAAAGATTGAATTTAATGAAAATTTCAATATTTCTATTTATAGATAAAAAAAAATAACATGTTTAATAAATAGTATACCTTGACGTACAACTATCCGAAATATCATTCTCGTATTCTTTCCAACGGTCTAAAGCTAAACAAGTTGACTTCGATCTGTTTTGTAAGTGATGAACTGGTTTTGGCGATGAACTTCTTGTATTGGGAGCTGATCGCGTAACGCCTTTAACAGATTCATATGATAACTTCTTCCTCTTTCTTACTATGACATATATTCCGATAACTGTAACAATGGCTAAGATGACTCCACCAACAGTCGTTCCTATTACGATAGGTGAATTTGACGAGTTTTGTCGAAATTCAAAATTATTCGACGTTGTCGAGTCATCAGCCATTGAAATAAAAAAGCCAACAGATGCTATACGCATCGAACTACTATAGACCTACTATTGGCCCCGTACCATTGGCCGTTATATTTATATAGAAATATGAAAAAAATAATCAATGTAAATGATTGTATCTTAAAAAATGTACTTCCGGTGATAATTCGTGGGCAATTATAGTCTCCTTATCTAGTTTACTCTCCCCCATATTTCCTATATATTGTGTTCTACGGGCATAGTGGCATTTATTTGTAATACCTTTTTTCACAAAATTTTCATTTTTTAAAGCATATAACTATAGACAAGTATCGCCATCTTACGACAGGTTCCTACCACTATGGACGCGTTTATGTGCTATGGTCCTGTTGTAGAGGACGGCTACGGAGCTTGCTATAACCCTCATCCGAATTACATCGTTGTCGTAGTGTCTTCCTTCGTAAGCTGCGGAGAAACAAAATCGGATAGATTCGCTTTTTCCCTTCAGGAAAGTTTCCGTCAAATGAAATCCGTTTGTCTGCATAACCGGAAACCTCTGGGAAATAACTTAAAACCTTAAAGAAGAATCTACAATAAAGACATGGCTAGTTAAATTTAGGACAAAAATTTAGGATTATTTAGACGTCTGCATATAGTCGTAAATATCCTGTAGATGATTATGTTTGAAAAAACTTACTGCAAATTCCGGTAGGGGGAGTGTCTCCGCCGAGAAAAGAGCTAGAAAATAAATTATCAAGGCATATTTCTCGCGACAAACGGTCGAAACGAATTTTTGTCGCTTGATGGACGACGTCTCTTGAGGCGTCTACTTTTTTGTCCTCTCTCGCATATTTTACTTTTATTAAAAAAAAGTGCGCAGTGTGATCGGGTGTAATTGACGAATATAGTACTTCCGCTTCCCGCTTACTTCCCGTTGGTAACGTTGTTTCTCTTTTTTTATACTTATTTTACTTATCGCATATGTAAAATCTTGAAAGTTGTGTAGAAAAATTCATTAAATAGCCAAATTAAGTAATGCTCATCCGGATAAAATAGTACATTTTCTTTATAGGATTAAGCGGCTAAAGTTGAACTGTACTAATTCAAAGCAATTATTTATTTTTTTATATACATGAAAAGGCTATAAAATAATTAAATACGAGCAAGTACAGGCATCTACTGCATTAAGTAAATGAACACAGATTGCATGATATAAGAACTAGTCGCAATGATTTGAATAAAAAAGAAAAAAATCATAATTTTACAGACAACCTGACATAACAACTAGGCAGAGCGTCATCTTTTTTTATCTGACTCTTCATAATCTACAAGTTGAAAAACAATTATAAAGTGTCTCGGTCTTCCTCTCTGTCTCTCACAGGCCTCTCTTTTTCAATTTCTCTCATTGTGTCTCTTCGCTTTATCTCCCTTTTATTCAAAGGGAATAGAGTAATCGAAAGTTTTATCTAGAAACGTCCAAGGTGATAAAACTGGTATTAATTTTATCAATAATTCTACTATAAGAAACCTGCGCAATTACATTTCGCATCCTTTCATGGCATCTACATCTCGTATTCCACCAGTAACTATCACTCCACCGCCCTTATTTAACTATTCTAGTGAGGATGAAGATGACAAAGAAACTGGCAGAACAGCGATAAACACTAGCGAGGGTTACAAAGATCTTCTAACCGTTCCACAGCCCGCATTCCTAATGAAGCGCTTATCCCAATCTACCGATGAGGATGAAGATGGTGATGTATTTCTATTTTCTTGTTGCGAAAAAACAAAGTTATGCACTGTAACATTATACTTATGGTTAACGTTGTTGGCTATTGGGTCAGCGATCTCTTTAGCTGTTATTGGTGTCCTTTTGGTTGAGCCTTGGCGAAAGGCTTCCTCATTTATTAAGACACAATGTACTTCAACGGAGTACGTGTCGCAAGATAGAAAGTGTACATGTGGAAAGTCCTGCTCGTCAGTCTACCCCTGCTTGATTGTTACAGTACGATATAAAGATCAAGAGCTGAGAGATCATTTAGTAAGAATAAAGGAAAATGAGTCTATTCTTAATAAGGAGGTCAGTATATTGCAAAGTAAATAAACGTTTACGAAATAAGCGTCTTTTATTAATTTTTTCTAATACGTCGTATAATTTTGTTGATGGGGGGAAATAACGACAACATTAAGATTCTTAGGTTACGCTCTAAAATACAAACAGTGAAAAATTTAAAAATTGGACGCAAGATGGCACAACTCGTCTAACCTTTGTAACACCAATTAGACGGTATTTATACGCAGATAGGTCGAATACATTTTTACAGAACGTGGGTGGAGAATTAAATAGCATTTTCAGTTTCTTTGCATATATGATTATTCTACTCATCGATTTTCCATCGCGCTATTAACTTTTAAAAAGAAAAATCTGAACTCCTGTCTTAGTTAATTGGGTTAAGAATTTATAAGATCTTTTTAGTGTACAAGATTATGACACGAACGTGCGCAAGTGTCATTGAGTCTCTTTATTCCGGCCTTTCATAAAGGCAAAATATATGAGTGAAAGAAAAGGGGAAAGCGAGTGTAATCCCCATATTACCCGACTGTGTAGCGTGTCTATTAGCCATTAGCCGCCGTCAGAGACGCATATAAGCGTCACCAGAGACGCCTGCCTTTCTCAAGCGCTCATATAACGAAAAGGCGACGATGGACGATGATGAAATCGAAGCTGTGGTTTTGCATTGTCCCAACGATGCGGAATGCGACGATGACGAGGAACATTTTATGTGGGCGAAACCTTGGCGATTTCGATATGTAACCAACAATAAAATTCTGCATATTTGCATTTATACGATACTCGCAGCCTCAACTGCAGCTAGTCTTACAGCATTAGCAATAGTGGCAGCTTTGATTGTTCATCCTTTCTCAATAAGCGCTTCCTTTTACACGACTACTTGTTCACCAGCTGAGAGTCCTACCTATAGAGGTGAACAGCGCTGTTCTTGTGGAAAAGAGTGTGCTAGTACCTTTCCATGTGTCGTTATTAAAGTAAAAAATTCTGTTACAAATTCATCGGTCCTCGCGCAGGATGAAAGCGAATTGGGCGAGAAGGTGAAGCTTTTGTATCTATATAATAGAACTTATTGTAAATCATTTAATAACTTTTCTAGAATTTTCATTTGTACATCTATTTAAAAGAATATTAACAATATATATTATTCAAATAAGGATACTGCCTTTCAAAGGCTAAATTTAATTTATTCTTAAACAGTGCACGTATTTTCCACCATGCCGGAGTTCAAAAGAAAGAAATAAAAAAGACGTTCTGGAATATGTCAACAAGTATGGTACGAAAGGTTCTACTTATAAATGCCTATACAATCCTAAAAATTCTTCGCAAGTGATTAGACGTAGAAGGTTTCAGCTATCTCACGTTGTTCACGGTCTGCTCTGGCCGTTAATTGTTCTCTCTTCATCCGTCTGCCTGTTTGTTGTAATGATGAGACGGAGGAAATTGCAAAATAGATCCTGACAACAAGGACGAGAGAAGAAAACGATAAGAAGGGAAAAATGAGAACAAATAATAAATGAAAGAGAATGGCAAAAAATTTTTACTGTTGACAGTAAAAAACATAGTATATTTTACAATGTACAGTATAATGTTTGCAGTAGCGTATGAACAGTAAATATGTCTTATTTATTTTATATCTCGAAAACATAGCAGACATATCTAGTTCTTATACGCTATATCGGTGTAAACAATATAAATAAATTTTATGGCGGAGCGCAATTTACTCAATCAGAATATCCGGCTTCTTAATCTGAATTCGAAGAAATATATTTCATATATAAATATATATTTATAAATTATATTTATATCTATTAATATAGCTATATATGTATTTTACCTGCATAGTTATATACTGTATTTATCGATACAAAAAATTATAGCCAAAAAAAGAAACAGAAAAGGAATAATCATAGTCACGCAGTTATTTTTCATTAATTTCTAAGGGACTTCATTCGAATAGCATCAAATACGATCTGGTCACGTTAAAAAAGGTTGCGTTAAAGATGACTACTTTATCATTAACTACTCAACGATTAACTAGAATTGCTAGATTATATTTATAACATCGTGGAATGTTCTTATTATATATTTTATAAATCGTAAATTATCTCATTTTCCTATTTCGTTTCCTTACTTTAATACTGTATATGTTATTGTTCTAGTTTACTCTTGATCAATATAGGAGCAGATGGAACATTTCTCGTCATTAACTCTAAAGATGTGAATTTTACCTCTACTTGCTTCTAGGCTTGAAAATAAAACGTCTATAACGTATGAGATACGCTATATAAATATTAGTTTTAATATACCTAAGTATGAATTAAATTACATTGTATATTACTGATATAACATTCATAGTCATTCCGAAATTTTATACTTAGAAGTTACTTGTTTATTTTGCTTTCAATTCAATAAAGTATTTACAATACAGGAAATAATACTGAGCAGGTTGTTTTATCAGTCAAAGCTGCGTAGCTGAGTACCTTTTGTCAGCATAGGAAACATTCTTCAGTCAGCAACAGCCAATCTACCAATCACCTAAACTAGATGAGAGTAGAGAAAACGGTTAGATTAGCGAGTTCACGAATACACTGAATCGATTTCGCTGCTGTTTCGTGTCGTGTGTTTTTAATGAAGAGATCTAAAAAAAATTCGGTCCTGTTGAAAACGAAACGTCTTAAATTTCTCAACCAACCAGAAATAACATTCTAATAACTTACATACCTCAATTTTCTTGCTCTTCTCCTTTTCTTCAACAGTTATTCCCCTTTCTACTTTTGTTCTGGTCCCGTTTTAGTTATTAGTTATTTTCCATATCTTTCGTGACCTTTTACTTGATACTTTTTTCATAATTTTTCTCTTTATATATTCTCTTCTTGTTTCCTTATTTTCTTATTTTCTTATTTTCTTCTCACCCTCTTGTATCATTTCATCCCAAAAGAGTCTAGCGATATTGGTTATATAATTCGATTATAGTATCTCCGTAAACGTATTGCCTTTTTGAATAAGACATATTGTAATAAATGAGTCCGTTGTAGCTACTTTCATGCTAGAGGCCGCCAGCGGTTCCCTACAGCAACCAAATAATAAACAGATATCTCTTACATACATATTTATATATTTTTTAAGGATATTTCAAAAAATGTCCAATCGACAATCACCGGTGCAAGAGGAGGAGGTAACTGAAGAATCAGGTGTTGTTGAAAACCATACTGCAGAGGAGGAGGTAACTGAAACCCAAGAGAACACTGAAGAAGAAACGAAACAAGCGGAGAATGACGAAGAACAAGTTGAGAACGAGGAGGATGAAGACTTTGAAATTACAGTTGATGAGTCTCAAAGCATGTTTACAATTATTGAGTGTCTAACAAAGGAATACGAAGCTCTGAAAAATACAATTGAGTCTAAAAATGGTGAAGAAATAGCCGAAGACTCAGCAGAGGTAAAGAGAAAAGTCAAAAGGCTGAAAAGGGAATTGAAAAAAGCAATTGCTTATCAATCAAAATTGTCGGAAAATCAAAATTTTGTCGATGACATCAATGGCACATTACAGAATTTAATAGCAAAAGTCAAGACAGACAATTCACAAGGTATAGTTTCATTCAGTATTTAGAACTTTCTTATAAATAATATCTAACAATAGTCAACTGGTTAACTATTGATAAAATTAAAAAATAAGAAGGAAATGATTGAACGGTATTGGTATTAATTTAATAACTTGGGCAGTTCATTTTTTTAAGCAAATCAATATTGAATAGATACTACCCTAAAGAGATTTATTGATCAATCAAATGGTAATCGAATGGCTGCTTTTGTTATATCATTTATAGTAGTAGTATACCTGTTTGAATCGTTAGCGATTTCCTTTAATAGAAGTAGCTAGTGTTGCCCTCTTCTTTCAATTTTCTTCCGTTTTTTTTTCAGCTGAAGAAACCACCGTTGAGGAAACGGAAGTGGCTGTTAAAAAAGCTAAGAGCACTAAAAGATTAGCTGAAGTGGCTGAAGAACTTGCCCAAGTTCAACAATTGGCTGCCGAATATGAACAAAAAGTAATCGATATGGAAGAGAAATTGACCAAAGTAAAAAATGAGGCTGAAAAAGCTGAAAATACTGTGGAGAATTCAAAAACGGATGACAACAACGAAGAAGATGAAGAAAAACAACGATTGGAAGAAGAGGAAAGAGAGAAAAGAGAGGAAGAGGAGAAGCGTCAGTGAGTTTTTTCAAATAATTTAAAAATAGTACAGTTTATTAGCAAAATTCCGCTCTGTTTTTAGAAAGGAGGAAGAGGAAAGGCGTTTAGAAGAGGAACGGAAGCGCTTGGAAGAAAAGAAGAAGGAAGAGGAGGAGAGAAGAAAGAAGTTAGATCCAGTTAGTTGGCCTATGTTTAAGTAAGCAATATCTAGTCAATTATATAATCAATAATAACCAAAATCGTATGCAATAATACTGTGAATCTGTCACTTGTATTCAGAATTGAAGGAGACGATAAGATAATAAACAGTGGTCTTGTTTGTATGATTCGCGCGCAAGATGGCGCCTACAGCGATGGACAAATAAAAGGTGAAATGTTTCCTGAAGCTTCCAGGAAATATCCTCTATCTTGTGATGAAGAAATTGTCAGTAATGTAATTCGGGTGTACTGCGATGGGGATGAACCTGTTAAATTTTCTGTAAGATAAATCAAAAGTACAAAAACAAAGTTTATAATTTCGTTAATAAGCAAAATGTATGTTACACCCAGAAGCCTATAGCTATAGCTATTCCACTCAGCTTGCCAAGAGCGCTTCCGGCGAGAGAGTTTGTAATTAAGGTCCTCAATACAAGCCCCTATAAGGATTTACTGACTCGAGACATCATCTACCCCGAATATAAGGTGACTTTATCCTATTTTATCATCCTTTTATAATAAAGTACCTTCGGGTTTTCTTTTACCGCCCAAAAAAATGTTTTTTTTTCTTCCATTCCATTAAAAGGAAATTCGATTTGCCGATGCTCTTTTCGATGAAGTTCGCGACTTGACCTTATGTGTTGTATCAAGATTCAAAAAAGAAAAGGAAACCTTTAACAACAAAGGAGGAAAACTCGTATCCACTATTGACAGCAGAGTATCGTTAACCATTCCAAAACGATCGTTAAGATTGGCTACGGAACTATCTCTACAGGTGAGCGGAAACTGTTTGCTTTAAGGTCGATGATCACGTGACCTTTTCTCTGATTAGCTAAAAGGATTAAACGACTTTAGGCATTACCAAATTGACTCTACCAATAAGAGAAGTAGTATCAATACACTTCTTACGTACTAAACAAATCATTTACATAGTTACCACTTTACTCGAGTAAAGCAATTGAATATCTCAAAATCAGCAGATATTATCCGCAATTATTGCAGGTACATATACATTAATAATGAATAATGTCCATAGCTATATTAGAACTTAAGATATTGGAATCTAAAAACGATTGCCTATAATATCGAAACTGTGACAACTATATTCCTTTTATTAAATTATTTAATGATATTTACACCCAAACATCTATTTAAACCCCTTGTATGAAATAATCGCAATGCTTTACTATTTGCAGAAGCATATTATGTCATTTAAGCTTTAGTTGTCATTTAACAAATTGTATAAAAGGCTTTTACATTTGATGGAATGAAGCTATGTACGATGCACAATATCTTAAATATTACACCAATATGCACTCTAGTCTTATGCATATAATAATGATAATTACATTTAAACAAACCTTTAAATTATATTGTATATATGACAGTACAATATACAAGTTGGAGTTGAAAGTTTGATTATTACTTCCCTGATAAGTTTACACAGTAAAATGATTAACAATTTGATACAATTTAAGTTTTTACTTAATACTTTATACAGTATACGTAGTATATACAGTAATATATAATTTAAGTTTCTATATTTAGATCTATTATTACAAATAAATCTTAAAATAATCAATCATCTTTTATTATAGATTATTGCTTAAGATTATAATACTTTTACTTACTTTTAAGCAATTACCAAAAAAAAAAAATTTCTATTGCGTTAAGATCAAACTAAAACATCTTTTATGCTCTAAAACAGTTTCTTTTTTTCTTTATCATAGAATAAATCTTTTGTTTTACTCGGTATAAAAATGAGAAACGCTTTTGTACTTTGCCTAATTTAAATAAAAGCGTTTCTTTCAAGTTTTTTTTTCTTTTTTATTTTGGGGAAATTAATAAAATATATCGCGTATATTTTTAGGATACCTTACTTAAAGCAGCATCTTTATCAGAACAAAACCCATTCCCATCACTCTTTGAATCCCCCGAGTCTTCTTTCTGTAGTTTTTTACTATGTTATGGAACTGCCAGATTATAAAATTATCTAACTCATCCAGACTAAAACACTATTCATCTGCAAAAGAGAGTTTACCATATGAACCATCGTTTTTAAAACACTTGTTGATTGATTAAATCTCGCTGCATTCTCTGAGTGACCCCTGATAATTATCAATGCACCAATGCAGAATATAAATACTGTTTGTTTTGTTTTTTCGAATACTCAGGTAGTTAGTAACGATTTTTCATAAAGATCAACAACTAGCAGGTCTGTACATTTATGGATTTCAGATAGAAATCTGATAATACAATTTATAAGATTGGTTGAGTAATAGAAGCCTATATACTGTGAAATAAAGGAATTCATCTATAAAAAATAGTTATATAGTTTTTTTTCCTTTATATTTAGAGTGATTCCAACTACTTAAAAGAGAGATATAGTTTACACCCCACGACATTTTTCTTTTGTAAAAATTACTTTCGGAAGTGAATCAGTAAATTTATGAGCGCACTTTCCTAAAGGAAAAATATATGAAATACATAATTCATATGCGTAGTATCAACTCTACTGCATATAGGTGTATGTATATCAATATACGATATATTTATATATATATATATATATATATATTATATATTCGAATATAGGAGTAATGTAAGCATGTATGCTATACAGTATAGATATTTTATTATTTTATAAATACTAAATCATAGGCAGCAAATATTATGTACATATGAAATATATTTTTGTCAGCATCTATTTTTAGCCTATATATTACTCGTTGCACTTAAGCTAGTGGTTTAAAACAGGTTCAGCCGATCGATAGTACTACAGTTGGCGAAGCAAAGGCTAGGTATCCCAAGGAATTAGACTCTTTGCTGGGATGCAGTCCTAAGGTATGCTTAAAGACATATGGCTCTGTACCTTTTCCCAAAAGCTCCGTTACTATGCAATGTGCTGGTGTGAAAAAAGATTCTCAAAAAAGTAGTGGTCTTCCAACTGTTGGGAATTCTTACCAAGCTAAAAAAGGTGACATATTTCCTACTCTGTATTGCGTTAGAGTATTTCTATTACCAATAATTGTATTTCGTCGCAGATGGTGATCAAGAGGAGGAGGGAAATGTTTATTTACTTTATCAGAATTCCAAAGACAAATGGTTTTTAGCATCTGATTTGTCGTCTACCATTGATGGTGATTTGTATTCAATCAACTTGGATTACAGTGTCCAGTAACTAAATTCTTAATTAAGACACTTTCAAAGCTTCCTCAGATTTATCTTAAAACTTCTCCTACAGAGAATATAAACTTCTATTAATTCGAGTAAAATCAAACATAACTGCTACTCAAGTCCCAAATATCGCCAATGGATTGCAAAGAAGCCTTTCAAGAAAAACAGTTAAATTTATTCTAAAGCAAAATTCTACAGAAACAGAAGCCTTCTTAGAATGTTGTCGCGCTGATAAAATGGATGACGTGCTCTTAGTTAGTATACTCCATATACTAATATATTTATTTCATATATTACTAAGCCATTCAATTTACATGAATGTATGGAAGTTAATTAGCCGATACACAATTGTATTCCATTCTTATATTTATAATTAGTTAATTATATTAGCCCAAAGATAGTTTATGAAGCATGTAATACAGCTTTGTTTTTTATTGTCAATGTTCAGCGCCTCAAGCAAAAAGGGTTTACTAACGGACCGTCTCCTAGTGATGATATTGTTATTAAAGAGGGTCAATGTTTGGAGGTGAGGTTTAGGGGAAACGTCAAAGGAACTGAAGAATGTGTTCCCCTTATATATAATTCTCATGTAAACACGTCTTCATCCGACGTACAAGTACGAGTTGTCGATAAATTTGCTCAACATGGATTAGATTTGTATAGGGGACATGTTCAATTGTTCGAAATTGTACCTGCTCAGCTGGAAGAAGATCCTAAGAAAAAAAAGGATCAAAAGCAAATAAAGAAGAAGGAAGAAGAAACAGAAAAAGGAGAGATCGAATTCGAACGCAAATTACTTACAGAGCTTGTAGTATCACTTCCAAAGGAGGAGAGGAATTTAGAGCGAATTAAGAAAGCTCCTTACAAAATGGCGTCGTTTGGAATTCTTAACGAAGAGCTATTCGATGAAATAGCTAAAGAATTAGGTGACGAATGGAGGTTAGTAGCCCTTAAATTGGGAATAAGTAACGCTAGAATACAAGATATGGAATTAATGTCAAATTCTAAGACCGATGGTAACATCATCAAGGATATGCTAGTCAGATGGTTTAAAGGCACAAATAGGTCTGCTGATAAAGTAAATATCTTGTACTGGGCATTGTTTGAAGGGGGACGGGATGACCTCGCAGATAAGATTTTTCAACGGAATTGCGGGGTTTTTAATGAAGAAGAAAGCAAACCTTCATCTGCTTCCGAGATTTTCGGTAGTTCATTTATATTTCTTTAAGGCTTCAATTTACTTTCAAATTATTCAGACAAGAAAATCAATAAAGCCTTCACCAAAATTGTAACTAATGCTCTCATCAATGAGGAATGGAAAATTTTATCTAGAAAATTAACTCTCACAGACAATGACCTTAATTGCATTGAAGACAAGTATAATAAGAATGGAACTAATAAGGTATTGCACAATTTTTAATAAGCAACTGCTTTGTAATTCTTTCTCAAAGTTGACTTTTATATAAAAAGAAAGGTGAAAGGGCACATATGCTAAAGGATAAAGAGCAGATAAATTAATATTAAGCCCTAATAGTATAAAATGAAACTTAACGATCATTCTCTAAACAGGATAAAACATTGGAAGCTTTATATACATGGAAGAAATCGAAAGGATCCGAAGCGACTCCAAGTAGATTAATAAGTGCCTTAAAAGACAGCGGATTCTCTGATATGTCTGGTATGTATAATATTTTCTAATCACGCAATATGTTTTCATTTTGTCTAATATTCCATTTTGTTTTGCAGTACAAATTAAAGGCATATTCGCCTCCTAATGAATATTCATCACGAACTTTTTAATATCTGTCCTTTATCGTATATTGTGTTTCTTGCCTTATCTTTTAATAAGAAAAACACTACTCGTGTGACAATTGGTTTAAGTAATTTTGATTCTTCTGATATAGAGAGTAATCACTTCTCGGCGTGCTGAAAACAAAAGAAACTAAAGAGAGATAAATATTTCCTTGAACTTGCAATCTTATTTTAATTACAAAGTAATTCGTTCATTAAATAATTTAAAAACGATAATATAAGGTTGAATTAGGTTTACTCAATCTCTAGGATTTCCAAGACCTTTGAAGATGACTCGAAATTAATCAATTTTTCGTTTTATCTTCGAAAAGGAAGAACTAACTTACTGCGCGTGTAGGCGTGTACACAAAAAAATAGATATACAAATGCTTGTTTACTATATATTGTACTACGTCATATACAACCAATTTATAGCGTATTAGGAAGTAAATCGTTTCTAAAATAAAGACGAACAATAGAAGAAGAAAACGAGTGAGCTAGCATAATTTGTAATTATTAGTTGTTAAATTTCTTTTCCGGGTATTTAGCTCGTCATTTACAAAATTTTCGCTGAAGTACGTCATTATTAGCAGAACTCTGCAAGTTCTTCATTCTTTACTTGAAGAAGGATTACTACTACAATTCCTAATTATTAAAAAAAAATGGTAGTTATTTTATTGCAATTGTTGCAATTTCTTGGAAATATTATAGTGAATTTGCTATATCTAATAGGCTAATATCTTTGTCAATTAATGTATTTATATTGATATAGATTTTGATATAGCAAAAATTTATAATATGTAAACAAAAATAGAGGAAACATTAGCCTGCATAAAATTCAGTTCATTGTTTTGTAAATCCCGTTGATCTGACAGGCCAATAAACTAAACCAGATCCAGTTTATATGATATATTCTATTGTCCTTTCCTTATAGGGTTTAGTTTCTTTTGAAAGATTCTAATCTCTTCTATCTCTCTCTCTCTCTCTCTCTCTCTCTCTTCGCTTCTTATTCTTTTTTAAATAATATACCCAAAATGGATAACCATATGACCTTTAACAGTCAATTGTTTTACTCCTTTGACTCATTTATCTTCCTTTAAAATAATCTACGAGTTTTTAATAGCTTTAGTTGCAAACATTTACCAGCTGAATATCAAGTATTTCAAGGAAACCTTAGAAAAATTACGCATAATAGGGCTCACGAACGGATACCTCATGTATAATAGAGTTGATGATTTTCATGCTTCGTTTTCAGCCTTGCCAATGAAAATGGATAAAATTCCGAGTGATAAACTGAAGAATGTTGCCTAAATAAAGTGAAAATTGTCCAATGAGAATATTATAGAAATATTCGTGACTTCATCTAGTGCCTAGTTTTCCTTACTAATTAGGACCGATCCGTTGGAGATTAATCTCTTCTTGGATTTTTGTCATTTATAAATTAATAAATCTCGTAATCGATAACGAATATCATTAAACTTAGTATTGAAAGGGTATTAAGTTGGCAATATGAAGGGATGAAAATGTATTCATAGAAAAAACCTATATTTAGATTGATAGAGAGGCAGAAAGAGAAGAGGATTAGAGAGGAAGGAACAGAAGATGCTTGTTACCCTAATAAAAACTAAACAAGCCCTGTGCAAACCCGACAAACTAACAAATGATACTGGCAGCATGCATAATTTACCACTAGCGAGCGGTATTTGAGAGCATTTCAGCTCATCTTTCGAACATTTTCTGATTGCGGTACTCCAGTCCAATTACGCAAGTTGGTAAAATTTGAAAAAATTGAAATATATTTATGCTTACATTCCATTTGTATGCAATGTTTACTTAAGGAGTCTAGTGTATATTGTATATGTATAAACAGTAAGTATATACAGTATGTATACATTTATATATATACTGTATATATATATACATATATATACTGTATATATATATACATATATATACTATATATATATATATGTATATATATGTATTTATATATGCGTATATTGTATATATAAATATATACAGTATACGTATTAATATGTATTTTACCTGTATACAAGTAAAGATGTGCGTACATATAAATATATATATATACAGTATATATATATATATATATATATATAACTTTTTATTAAATATATACGCAATCTATTTGTTATAAATAGAGCATACTACAAGTTTACTATACACTTCTTACATTTTATATGAAATATATACATTATATATATATACATTTATATATATATATATATATGTCATATTAACATTATATTTTATATATATATATATACGTAAAGATGTTAATATAATATATATACTATATTTATTATTATCATTATTATATATATAGCATATATGGATCTGATTCGTTGTCTAGATGTTTATTCTCAAGGCCCTTATTTTTCTAGACATATTTTTAGCAGAAAGCTCATTGTATACATAAATTCACTTTTAGCACTAAATTTATCAAATTAAATGCCAAACTGCCTACTACTGCATTTGACGATATTGTAAAAATGTTTATAGATAAAACTTCAAACCCCTCTTCTTCGTAGGAAAAGTTAAAGCTCTATTAAAAATTAACTTTTCCCTACTTATTAATTATTTCTATAAATTTTGGAAAGACTAAAACATTGCTGCTGTACATAAGTCATCGACATTTAAGCATATTTATGTATGTATGTATGTATATATATATATATATATATATGTATATGTGCGTGTGTGCATGTGTAGATATTTATCCCCTTTGTATAATAATGATGATTCATAAAAAGTTATTTATAAAATATTCTCTCTATCAAAAGTATGTCTAGATGAAAAATATATGAAATAGACCCATATATATATATATATATATATTTATATAAACTAATAATTAAAATATTCTGATCGCGTCTGCAATTATATCCGCCCAACTAATCGCAGTAATCACGTATTGTCTCTCGGACGATTTTCCAGACTAAATTCATGAGCATGACCAATTAATATTGACTCATCTTAACGACGTGTATAAATTTATAAGAAGAAAAATTTCTGTCAGTATTATAAAGAGTTGTTTGCATTTTCGATTTGATAATAGAACTCAATCTCCAGTGCAAAGACGAAATAATTAAATAGATGTTAATATTTGTTTTATTATTCGTTCTTCTTTGTCATTTTTTAATTATTCAAGATATTACGCAATCGCTACTAGTTGGATCGCGACTTTCTTTTACTTTCGGCTTTGACCTTCGTATGAGGCTTCTACTTCTTTGAAATCCTTTGGGTGAACTTTCTTGAACCCTCAATCTTTCACGCATACTTGCCAATGAGGCAGAGTTAGCCGATAATCTCCTTCTGAGGATCGGTTCTAACTTTTTTACTTCCGGTATGTCGGCTTGCTCGAGAAGTTTATGAAATATTTGCTGGATATTTGTACCAGTTTTAGCGGAAACGTCTACGAAACTGTTCGTCATCCCCTCTTCATTTAACCAACTATCCACGTGGGCGGTAGAAACCTTTTGCCTATTTGGTCCCAGATCGATCTTATTGGCGACAACGACGCAGGGAAGCGCTTCGTAATTACTTCTTTGCTCCTTAATTTGTTGTCTAATTGATCGAGCAGTGTCGAAAGAACGATCGTCATCGACCGAGTAGACGAGAACGAACGCGTGAGCCTTTTAATTTTATACATTATAAATAGAAAATATAATTGAACAAATCGAATATTTGACGAACCGTCGAAATGGAAAGACGTCGCATTGCAGGAAATGCCAAATCGCCCGACGTATCCAGGAAGTCGACTTTTACTGAAGTTCCTTGAATGTTATAATCCTTACAGTGCAAATCCTCTATTGTTTCTCTATAAGCATTTGAAAAACTATTCTGGAGAAAGCGTCGAATAATACTCGTCTTTCCAACTCGACCAGCACCCATGAAAACGACGCGGTGGCGTTGCTCATCATCGCCCATCAGAGAACCAGTCTGTATAAAAAAAAGAAACATCAAACGATCAAGTCTTTTCCGCTCACTGCTTCAAAACATAGTCGAAACAGTTTTTGGTTACACGCAAGCGATGTAGGCATACTATATAAGCAAATAGATTGCAACCATATAATATATACAGTATATATACAATATATACAAAATATAAAGAGATATATATATAAAGAAATAAAGAGAAAAAATCGTCCATTTTTCACCGATCGTAAGTAGTAGAATGCTGAAAAGAAAAACCTTCGATTTTTTTCCCTTTTAATAAAACGATTGAAAATCTAGACGCTAAGTGGAAAAGCTCTGTTGTACAGCGTTTTTTAAAAGGCATATCGAAAATGAATGTAAGCGACGTCTAATAAACTACGAAAATTAACAACTATAATCACTGTATAATCTATCTCTTTTCTCCTTCTTTTTCTTCTTTTACACATTAGAAGTATGAAATAGATAATTTCTTAATACTTCCTTTATTAAAAACTAAACCCATATAGTTTCTTTTGATAGATACCAGCTATTTTCTGTTCAGTTACGGCGTATGTCACCTTTATTTAATAATCTTTCGATTCTCTTTAAAGTAAACCTTTAAGAGTTAATAAACTAAAAGCAGAGCATAGACGTTCTTACTAATTAAACTTAATACGTTAAGAACTAAAGAAGATTATATATACGCACCTTTTCATCCTCTGGCAGTAAGAAAGATATACGTTTTGCCGATGAATACCAAATGTCTAATGCTTGGTAAAGAAACTGTGTCGACGCTAACGACGCCTAGTAAGCTCTCTAGACGAAATGCGAATGTATAAAAATGCAATATAATAGTAGCGTGTGAAAGTGTTTAGTAAGATTCTTGAGGAAAATTTTATAATTGCTGTTGGGCGATAATATCAATACTAAAATAATAAGTTTACAATTGTATAATATTTAAAAGATTTCTCATAATCTTATCAACGAGATAATTGATTACAGAAAATGAAAAAAGAATTTCCATTATGTTTCATTGTATTCTCAGTAGTCTATACGTGTAAAAAGAATATACGTACCACAATACATTATAGTGTACGGTACTTAGTATTATTTTATATGTACATAGTTTAATGAATTTATTGTGCAACATATACATCGGCTATACTGTCTATTGGATGAAAAAGAAAGAGAGGAAGAGGGAAAAAGAAGCCTATAGTTAAAAATTGACGTACATGACGTTCTACCTTTTTTAATTGCATATCTCTGCGCTGTAAGATTATTTAATGTCTATATTTAAAAATAATGACGATTACTATTAAAATCGATCTTCTAATATTCCTTTTTTTTTTAAAAACAATATAAATGATACAAGTTATATACAACTTTCATTTATGGTTTATAGGCTTTTCTTTCTATTCATTTCTTCATAATTTCAAACATTTATTGAACATTTCGTGTAATAATTTGATAGATTACCATTTTTTTCATCTATTTCTATATACAGACTTTTAATCCAGAATATAATCCGAAGTTAATCTGCTCTAGTTGTGCAAAAAAAAACAAAAAAACAAAAAAAAAATATGTATTGACAAATGTCTATAAACAGTACATACAGAGACGCTTCAGTATTGACTTAAATAAACCAAAACAAAAAGGAACTAGCAGCTTTTTTTCTTTTGTATTGCTTTTTTTTATTCATTTCTCTTCCTTTTAAACTTTCATTTTAAACTGCCATTTGTTTGAGTTTATTTTCGATATTACGGCTTTTGTTTTTTTAAGTTGTATATGATAACGAATTCTTTCCTCCATACGACCAAGAGCCTAAACGCATTAGCGGCGTCTAAGCGTCAATCCGTCTTTACACATCACTCAACCAGATTAGACGGTTGGACGCTATCGAGTGTACAAGATAGGGTGTCTAATATTAGTAATGAATATTATCTAGGTGTCAGGTAAAAAGATACAGTTACTGCAATGCAGGTTTTACCTAATTAAAATCGTGTAGTCCTGTAGGATAATTTTACTGAGAAGTATCAGAATGGGTCATGGAATCCAGGCTGCTATACATTAAACCGATGTTTACTTCTAGTCCCAAAGCTAAAAAGTGCAAAGAGAAAAATTTCACAATGCCAAACGGTTTTGCTTTTATTGTTCCTTTCATTTATCAACCAAAAAGAGGTTAGTAAAAACTTATAAAGATCCGGATGTACAAGAAGCATAGAAAGAACCATCAAAAAGAAAATATAGCAATTTTCTTTGTATGGTTAATTGGATGAGAAAATTTTAATATTGAGAAACCTTGTACAGGCATTGTGTCCACTAATTTCAATCGTCTCAACAGTCTTTCAATGTCAAAAAGTAAAGGAAGATAGTTTAAGTAACGAAAAGAGAATGGGCGTTTTAGCTGACAGAATGGATGTCGTCCCGCCTCATTAAAAGTATTTACTGTCTTTCTATTTTCTCTTATCAATTGTCTATTCCCTATCGTCACCCTTTTGCCTATTTAACATTTTCCTAAGGCGTTGGGCATACCTATTCGCGATGGGTAAAATTAATTTTTTCTCTTTAAACTCAGTAAACGGGGATTAATCGTGACAAAAACCGGATATTAAGTCGAGTTGGTACTGCTAAATATTGTCATGGTTAGAAAAGGAGCAGGGTAAGGATTTGAGTGGGCGATAGCTCTTCAAGGTCACTCTGAATGTCTTTTTTTTTTACTAAGATAAAAGGTATGTAAGAGCCGTTTACCGTGCAACAGCTGCAATTCTTTTTTAATCGTACTTAGCTTTGACTACTGCCTTTTCATTTAACAATACAGTTATGAAGCTTCTAATTATTTATTCCTAAGATTTTCACTTACCAAAAGGCTAGTCTTATTATTGACTTTCCCTATATTTACTTTTATTTTTGTTGTTAAAGTAAAATAACGATCGCTTAAGACTTTTCAGTGACTTGTAGTAGGCAGTTTTACGGAAGCTTTAAGACTATAACATTCTTCACTCGTTAGTGGATGAAATACTAAAGACCCGACAAGTTCTTAAGTGCATGATAATTTGTCGCAAACCCCCCTCTCTAATCAATCACCTCTTGCTTAGAACGTGTTTATCAGACAGTGAATCCCTCTGATAATTTAATAGAAAAGCTTAGTAAAATCAAGAGGCAATTCCTGAGTACTATTTCTACAAGCGTTATGCATATGGCTTCAAGAATAGTGTGCCTGTACGAAGCCTAAGGGCTCACGCCTACTAAAATGATGAATCTGGCCTTTGTAGCCTCATTTACACCTTGGCGCCTTGTCAATATATCGATTCTATGTCTACAGTAATTAAGCTCACGATAAAATCCAAAAAATTAGCTGAATTAACGTTTTCTTTTTAAAAAATCCGTTTCTAATTATTTGTATAATAAATGAAACTATATTAGATTGCTTTAAATACTGCTTAAGGCTTTTACTAGTATAGTATTTCCTCTTTGTTTTATTTCTCAGCTAATTTAGATAATAAAAGTAAATAAATTAGGTTGCATAATTTGCAGAATCATTTTTTCTATCTTTACAGTATTTCCTTCTCATTGAAGAGTATCGGACAATGGAAATTAAATTGTTAATTGCGAAAAGGAAAGGGGAAAATGGAAAAAACCAGAAGTAAGCCTACTTCTAAACTTTATTATAAAGGTATTTGGGTCGACGTTCGGAACGTGATCAAACAGCTATATAAGGAGAAAGTGCTTGTCATCATTGAAATATCAGATAATTAATTCCAGTTTTTGTATATTACTTTTAGTAGGTGAGTCTAACTTTGTGTGATACAACAAGAACTCGCTGGGAGGTTACGGATACAAGTGAATAGCACTACGGAGGAATAATTGAAAGCGTATAGGAGGAAAGAACGTGTACGTATAAAGAAAGAGATCGATACGGGGATACGGATGAAACACATGAAAGCGACGGAGAAAAATAGAAACGGATAGCAAACGAGGCGCGATAAACGAGTATCGTTTCATAGCTAATTATTACTAATCAGGCTCACTAGACGAGTAAGAAAGCTCTCCTACATCCGAATATATAGTCGTATCCATAATTATAGATTTCCAGTATTGAGGCCAACGCACGTGCGAGTTATCATATTGCTTTGTTTGTCACGTTTGTAAAAAATTCCCCGCCAATCGACTTAGAAATCGCTAAACGTTATTATATTGCTTCAATAAAAGAAAAATACATTGCTACTACTGTACATTGATCTTATTCCGCATGGACGCTTACATAATCTTATACATTTAAAGAAATAAAACTAATAGAAATATTGTGATAAGGTTTGATAGCATAAAAAGTGGATTTAATGCATCTGCACCGCCTGATTGCGTATCCCATTCGGCGAGGATTCTAACCGGTCCACCGCTCCCTTTTCCGATCTTCATTGGCAATACCGTCAACTTTGCCCCCATTTTAGGTATCTTGTCCATATTTGCAACATTTTCTAAGCCATAAACATTTCCTTTAGAAATCGCAACGTGAGTTAAAAAGTCTGAACTTGGGCCGTGATCAACTGAAGCGGTATCAACACCAATTCCAACAATATCTCGCTCTTTAATAAGCCATTCAGCAGCATCCGGATGAAATCCAGGGAAATGAAAGTCTGACGCATTGTTTTTATCATTGCCAAAATATAACGTTTTATTACCCAATCGTTCTTGCCAGCCGGAGTTCATCAGGATAATTGATTTTCTTTCAATCTTCACATTGTTATTTTTCTCAAAAGCTTGAATATCCTCCGTTTCTAATAAAGCCGAACTATCTTTTTCCGCTTTTGATTTAATATCGATCACGTACACAGGTGCAATTAACCTTTCGATAGGTATATCGTCAACATTCCACTTATCTTTATAAAAGTGACTGGGAGCATCCAAATGTGTTCCACCATGTTCCGCGAACTCCATTTCATTCGCGTAATACCTGAACAGATTGACAGTATTTAATTAGTATTTAAAACTGTGCAAACAATATTTACCAAAATTTTCCAGTGGAGCCCTTGAATATAACAGTTCTATTAAAATTCTTACTACCGGGCCAATAGTATGTATCCGAATTAAAAGTATAAGTCATATCAATAATTCGTCCATTTAATAAATGAAAGGATTGGAAAGCTAAAATTAACTGTATAATTGACGAAATCATCATTAAGTTTCCGATAAAACGTTAAAATCTTCGATTTTTCTACAGGAAAACCAAGAACACGCTATAAAAAAAAACTTGAATATTGTCCAGAGTGTTAAAAGTGTCAAAAAATTCCTTTGTGATTGACCATGGAACCTACATTTGCTTTGGCACAACTCAATATTATAATACCGTATATATGCTACTTTCCATAGCATTAAACCACACAAAAAAAGTGGATAGAATTGCAAAAATAGTACGTATTTTCGTATAAATTGTTAGAATACCAAAACAAAAGTAAGTTGTATTTCATATAGTTTCCATCTTGCTTCTTTTTTTCCTAATCGGATAAATTTTAATCGTATCGAACCATTGAAATCATTGACTGTTAAATTCTTTCCCTTTCTTCTTTCATATTAGATTAAAGTTTTAAAGAATTAAAAACTTTAAAAAAGTAATAATAATAATAATACTTTTAAGGGAAAGTATATTTTTATCTTTTCTTTTTCTTCTTCTTCTTCTTCTTATTGTTACAAATTCTTTCAAAGTTTAAGAGAACGTTTAACGTAGTTGTTGCTTTTTTAGCTTAAATTAGAAAAAATTTCAATTAGATTTAATTATTAAAGGGAATGGTCTGATTACTATTAAAAGTATTTAATAATTCAAATATTATATCGTTCCCTCTAAGGGCGGTCGACTTAATTAAAATAGACATCAGTTTTGAAACCCTTTAATCAATGTTACAAATTTCATATTGTTTATTAATGATTACAATAAGTTGACTTAAGAAAAAAACCACCATATGGTCTTTTAAAATTGAATATTATTCCGTGTTTAAAAAAGGGATGTCTTGTTTATGACCTTTAAATTTTTCAGTTTCTTTCACCTCCTTAGCCTATTTTCCTTTTCTATTTCCTATTTAAGTAATTAATTCTCACGAAGAGGAAAAAGTAAAGTTAAGACAAAACTGGTAAATTTGAGTAAATTAAATTTTTTATCAATATATCAATACTGTTTATCTGCATTTACGCCGACTTGACTTGACTATTGTAAATACGTTGTGATTGAGAGAATACTGAGAACGCCATCTATACGATTAAACTAGAATTGCTACGTGTGTTATACCAATTTATAATCTTGCTTTATGACATGTCTTTGTTTAAGCTCTAAAAAAAATGTAATTACTTATAATCCCAAATAGGAAAAGCTTTTCAAAGAAGAGTATAAAGCAATAGAAGCTTAATTCAAACTAAAAAAACTTTCCTTATTATTCTAATATCAAAAGAGTTGATCAAAGAGAATACAGCAAAATTCAAAATACGTATTATTACCTTAAAGGAATTATTAAATGCAAAGATTCTATTACAATTAACAAGAAACGGATTTCTAATAATAAATCCACTCCAACATTTAGCGACAAAAAAACAATATGCAAATAAGCTTATTTAAATATGGTTTGGATAAAAAAAGAGAGAGAGAGAGAAAGAGAGAAAAGAAGGAAGTAAATAGTGGTTAAAACAGGGTAACTTAAAATTGAATAATAAATTAGGAAAACAAAAAGACTATTGCAGATATATTTAATTTGCTGTTTGCTAAGCAATCAGTGCAGTTGATTTAATTTACTAAACGCCTAAAAAAAAAAAAGACAAGACTAAAAACCAAAAGAATAACAAACGGAAAAAAGGGTGAGAAAGCACTCTTCGGAAATCGATTTTTAATTTTCACACAAAATACGGACACAATTTGATTCATCAATATAACCCGTTCCCCTCATCCCCTACCTCCTAAAAAAAATCTCCCTGTTTGTCAAGATATAGTCATTTCTCTTCTATTTTTTTCTATTTTCGCTGTACTATATTGTAGTTTTCTTTTTTTTCTTGTATTTAAATATAGACAATGAATGTAATGCAATGTAGAAGCTGTTCGTCTCCCTATTGTAGTAATATATTACAATAGTGAAAGAATTCAGGATATAATTTATCGATGTTATGATTTCTTTATTTATATTATTCAGTTTTTTTTTGCTATTTATCTAATCTTAGACTTTATTAATATTTTTTCTCTCAATTCTTATGAAAGAGAAAGTTTTAAACAAGAAAATTGTAACGCACACGACATGAGAATAATAATACCTGATGTATATTAAATGCTATTATATATAAGTTTTGTTATCATCTAAAAAAGACATGATTATAGTATACCCAAACAGAAAATTACACGAAAAATTAGTAATATTTCGATACAAAAAATAATAGATAGTAGACAAAAGAAAGAGAGAAGATTAATTAAAGAGGAAGGACAACAAAGTAGACATCGTGATATCGGCAATACAATTTAACTACTTGTCTACCGATTACCAATTAGTATCTAGTTTCATGTGTTGCAAAAAGTTAATTATTTAACCTAATATATAAAATTTAAGTAGAGCTTTGAATAAGTTTTTATAAAAAGGTTTTAATTAAATAAACTGCTTATAAAATAGTATTGATGATGCTAAACTAAAAAAAGTGTCCTTAACAAAAGCTCTCCAATTTTTCATGTCAATCAGAATGAATTGACTAGGTTTCATATTTTAAATAATATTTGAACCAATCAGCAAACAAATATAAATTAGTATAAATGACAACAAGTACTTTGGTACTTTGAAAAAAGCCGTGTCGAGTATGAGGTAAATTGCTTATAATTTGTTTTATATTATTAAAATTATTGCAAAATGAATGTAACAGTTTTTTAGTTTGTTGTATATTTAAAGTTTGTAAATTTTTTTACGTTTATTCTCTATATTTTCAGGCTATTTCTATCATTATGCATAATAATTTCGGTAGTATTGACTCAAGGAAGGTCTCCAGTTATGAAATTAGACAAGTATTGCACTTTAGTATGTGTTTTATGTAAGGAAATATTGAATGCAAGAATAAGTGCTCTCTGTTATAATGATTGCTTTAAAGGAGGAACTATTTTCGAAAAGTGCGAATATTCCGTTTTCAATATACTACAGCAGAAAGAAATCAGGATCATGAATTTCTAGGATTGTTGTATGACAACAATAAAAAATTTCCTGTATTTGTTGTCGTCAAAATTCCATACGGCCCCTGAAATATTCATGATTTTTAATTTTTTTTCCTTAAGCCTTATTTCTTGAGTATGTTCCTCTATGAGTTTTTTTCTTCTTTCGTTCTATTTATGTTCGTCTGTCCACCTCAATTAATCCTATCTATCTCTATTAATTATCTTCTCTCTCTATCTTTCTCTTTCTCTCTCTCTCTCTTCCATATTCTATTAAAAACTCTGGAAATTTTGCTCAAATAAAAAGAAATTGAAATTTGTATCTCTGCAATTCTTTTCAAAAGAAAATCTTAGTAACAAGATATTAAATATTAGTCAATTTATGTTAATCTTTTTTTATATATTATGAAATATAAACATTTCTTTGAAATGATGAGCTTTTATGTAGAAATGTTAATTATATCTTAATAAACTGAAAATACATTAAATAATAACACGATTTACATAATCCACCATATTTAAAAAAAACTAGTAATTTTCGATTACTTATCATTCATTTCTGTTCTTTTGTGTAAAGAAAATATGAGTGGAGAGAGTATTACAAGACGAAAAATAATACCGTCATTATAATTTCCCCCGTCCAATACTGATCCTCGTATCGAATTAGCAATAAGTAAAGATAACAAAACATGACAATCGGAAGAAACTACTAAAATTTTACCAATAGTTTATTAAGGGATTCTTATGGGAGAGCTGACCCAATTTCTTTTTTTTTTTTGTTTATTGTATTTTAAATTTTCACATTTTCTGCCTTTGTAATAGAAGAAAACGATTAAAAGGAAGACAGGAGAATAGGAAATAAATTACAAATTACTCTTCTTTCTGTTAGCAACAAGTTTTACAGCGCCATCTTGCCTTTTAATTACGAACAGACGCTAATCTCTCAACGTCGTGAAAACGTCAAGTTTAGAAATTATAAAAAGAAGCGAAAATTGGTTCTTAAGACCCTTTCTTCAAGATGGAAAAAATATAAGCCATAAATTATTTATTAGCCATAAAAAGTAATAATTAAGAAAAATTACTGTACAGTAAGAGTAAACTGTATAATTTTCTGATAAAACATCCCATCGTAGGTGTAAACTACTGATACGTAATTAAATATAATCAGTAAAGTTCAGACTGTTTTTAGTCTAGTACAAAAATATTTCTTTCTTTTTATTGAATTTGTCTTATTCATCAGGTTAAAGACTTTAAGCTAAATACCAGATGTTCAATTCGGGTGATTATCCCCTTGATTTTTTTTTCTTTTTTGCAAACGTGCGTTTGTATTCGATACTTCTTCTTTAACAAGAGCAGTAGAAGAAATCGTACAATAACTATTTATTAACGAGTTTGCCGGCGCACTGCCGCAATCTTTATACGACTCTATTTGTCGCGGGCGGCGTCTAAATCGGTCGAAGGACGGCGTTACTTTATCAGCGGGCACTAGGCGGTTGCTTTATTGCGTATTCGACGCAGGCTTGGATGATCCCGACTTGTTTTGTACTTTGAAGCGGCAAATATACGGATATATTTATACATATCTATACTGTATATACGAACATATATTGTACAATCTACATATATATATATATATACAGTATCTATATTTATATATATGTTATTTATTTTTATCTGTACGTGTTAATGTATGTGAATGTGAATTTATACATAAAATAAATAAATATATATATGTATAACTACATATAAATACATATATATATACATATTTATATTTAATATATATATACAGTATATATAATCGTGTGTAAATATATAGCTATATAAATAAATAGACAGTATATATTTACAAGTATATGTATATTGTATTTTCTGACTAAATAATAGTAATAAACACACTGCTTCTAAATGTTCACACTAACAAATGCCGTATGTTAAATACTTATGGATTCAATAAAGGATTGGTTAGTGACCAGATGTAGAAACGTTAAAGGCGAATTGGAAAATCAGTTACAATCTTTGGATAAGGAAAGAAAAACTCATTTAAACATCGTCACACCGAATACAATACCAACGTTTTACATTCCAAGTAGCCACAATAACGATGACGATTCAAATAGTTTATCAAGTGGACCCTCTCCTAGACATTCTCCTGTTTGTCCATCGCCGAGCCTTTTATTGCCAAGCTCTACTACTTTCCAGAGGAGTAAATCGTTACCTGGAGAGGATTTCCGCAGTTCTCATATTCCAAAGCATAGAAGTCATTCATGGAATGATGACGACAAACAATCGGAGACCACTAGCTGCCGTTTGACAAGGAGGGCCAGCAGCAAGAGGCGTAAGGTTCCTTCAGTAGTTGCTCCCCTTGGGGTGCCTCTTCAAAGTGGAAGCGAGCAGTACTCGTCAGAACGTGCAGCTACCGAAAGGTCAAACAGAGCCTATAATAGACGACGTTCGTCACTCCCTCGAGTTGAAGATGCTGACTTGGAGAAATTAAAAATATGTAAACCAAACTCAGAATTTGGTGAACTTAAATATGCCCTTCAATATTGCAAGAAAACGGAGAGATTGAAATTGACGCTTCTCAAAGCTGAGAATCTGCGATCAACAGATCCGGAAGAGACACTTAATCCCTTCGTTAAAGTAATGCTAATGCCGACTAAAGTACAAAAGCAGACGTCTATCATTCATAAACGAACTAATAATCCAGTTTTCAATGAGACATTCTTCTTCGAAACACTTCCGCCAAATAAGCTATCGGAAACGAGATTAGTGATGAAAATCTTTCACAAATCTGCAAATTTGAAACGAGAAGAAAAATTGGGTGAAGTAACAGTTGAATTTAATTCGAAACAGGATTTAGTGAAGGAGATTCGGGAATGGCGGGAGATCGATAAAGCGGTTCTTATTTTTTTCCTTCCTTCACTTTCTTTCTTTCATTTTTTCTATCAAATTGCAAAATTATACAACGCTAAAATATTATACATGATTAATGTGTCATTTTTATAAGAGAAATAGAGGCATTTTTCATCTCACGCAGATCATTATGAAAATAGATATACCACCTGCATCATCATCAAAATTTATCATATATATATATATATATATACAGTGTATATATTTACTGTAGATATATGTACATATATATATATTAGAATATATATATATATATATATATATATATATATTTGATATACTATCTCCTTTTTAACCGTTTTAGGAACTTGGCATGCTACAATTAAGCGTTCAATTTGAACCAAAGAATGAAACTTTATCAGTTGGTGTTCTACGGGCTAACGATTTACGCAAACAACTAGGAAGGGCACCAGGTAATTATCTATCATTAATCATAATTTCCTCCCCCCCCCCTCCCTTTCACTTTTATTCATAATAATAGCTGCATTTGTTCTCTTAAAACCCTTCTACCTTATGTAAAAAAATATCCTCATACAATTATAAGTTTATACAAAATTCATACGCCTAAACACATTGAGATGTATTTATCCATCCTTTTACAAAAGAAAAATAGGCATCTGTAAAAGATATATGTAAACTGACTTCATTACGTATTAAATACAGTTTATAATATAAATCTATGGTCTACTATAAAGATATAAATTAAATATCTCCTTATAAATTGTATAATCACCGAAAATCCCATCAGTAATATATGCAAACGTATGGAAATTAATGTGCATTAAACCCTGATATTTCTCTTTATTCAAGATAGTTATGTGAGAGTTGAATTGAAGCAAGCTAACAAAAAAATGTCAAAATTCGAAACGGAAACTATCAAAAAATCCACGCATCCGGCTTATAAGCAATTTTTCTCTCTTCCTATCTCACCAAAAATCGACGACTTAAACGAAACGACGCTCTACGTTACTGTTTATGCTCAGATGAGGCTGAGAAGCGACGATCCCCGGGGTCAAGTTAGGTTAGGTCGAAACGCGACAGAGGAAAGTGAATTCGAGCAATGGAACAGGATTTTACAATATCCCGGTGTCGAAGTGATCCAATGGCATCATCTAATGGAAATTGACTGACGTCTTTATTTTTACTCTTTTCCGTCTTCTATATTTGTATTTTCCTTTTTAGCTATGCATGATGAAAATGGGGCGATTTACTGCATTGTATAAGCTTTCTTTTTGGGATAAATTATTTATTTTGGTAGTCTGTATAGGTAATAAGAATAGCCAACTTGACTAACGAATGTTCGAGTTCTTTGAACAAAAAAAAAACTGTTGCCTTCTATAAATACATATAGTTATATGTGTATATTCGCTTTAGTAATTACGTCTCACAAAAAACCTTCTCGTCTTCACCTACCAATTAGCAGTGTTTTACGGTTATTAATAGTCAATTTAACAGTAGATGGCAATACTATCTCAAATAATATACAGTATAAAGCCAGGGGATGTAGTTAAAAAGAATTTATACGGTAACGAATTGTCATGATAATTTCATTCATTTCATTCACACTTTACTATTATAAGCCTCTTACATAAAAAGAACAATCCGCCCATATTTAGAATCTATTGAGAGAATCTATATGAACTCTCGTTTCGAATAACGTGAAATAATGCCGCGTTTACATATTCATTTGACGCTGTAAAGGAAATCAATAACTTTTCAGTTCCGAGACGCCATCTGTAGACGTAACGTCTCCTACACTATACATGTATTTTTTTTCTGAATGATAGGATTATCCCGAAAATATTCTCGGAAAATAACCCTTTTAACGGCTATTTTCAAAATCGATTCATAACAGGAAAGTATCCATGAATATAACTGGAAAATAATCTGCAATAAGGACTAGAAGATTTCTCATAGTCTGTTTAGATTTGCAAAATTGCTTGCATTGATTCGCATATATACAGAAAATGGAGAATGTGGCAGTTAATGCCAAAAGTAGTCCTACGAGGTGAGTTTAATTGATAGTTTACTGCATACTCAATTTGTTTATTTATTGCTAATGTAGTAATGAAAATTATTCTTATCGATTTTTGTTAACTTCGATCAGAGGACGTCGACGTCAAAAAACGAACGATAGGCGCCCTCTAACGGCTGAAGAAGCAAGGAGAATACCACCAGCTGGAAAACCATCGCAACTATCCAGATCACTAAGTTCAAACAATCGAGCAAATGTAGATGTTCCGGTTTTTAGAACTATAGGTTCAGCTAAACGACCCTATTTTTGTATTCATCCTGGTAGTTATTCCAAAAGTAAAATAGTCTGTAATAATAATCTAAGCCTATACATTTTTTCAGAATGGAATTCGGAGAAGTGTAGCATCCAACGAGCACAGCTTTATAGAAAAAGTCAAACGGTCAATTCATCGCCAATAACCACTTATAAGGCCACCCATGTTCCTCCCAAAGATTTCCAATACGATAGTGCTACATATCCTGGCAGGAGGTGCAGATCCGCCCCCGCCTCTCGCCACCGAAATCCTATTACGTGGCAAAATTCGTAAAAGAGGACCATCCGATGCGTTGCATAAATTAGCTTTGTTTGCTTTTTTCCCGTAGGCCTGAATGAGCCTAACTCTCTTTTTCTAACCCTTCCTCCCTCCTTATTTTTTATTTTTTGTTAGCTTTTTTAAACTGTTGAAAACTAGACACGAGTTTATACAAATAATAATTATTTATGCTATATATCCTTGTATACATAATGTATACGCTAAATGAAGCTTTCAGGTGAATGCTCTGCTATGCATGTTGTTAATTTGATATATATATATATATATACAGTATCTATATACTACTATATGCTTTATATTTATGTATATAAAACTATGTAAAGTGTATGAAATACATTTACAATTTAAAAATGGCAGATGTTTTACTTAACTACATTTCGGAAAAAAATGCACTTTTATCAACGATAAACACATACAGATGCTTCATCCGACACACCTTTATCGAATATTTTTCAAAAATATGACATCTGTTCGTTTTTTAAGTTCTTGTTCCATGTTTTCAATATTTCAAAGTATAAGCCTGTATTGTTATTATTCAATCTCGTTCCTCATCTTGGAACATATGGTACAATTTTCTATTTTCAGAATCTATGAACTTTTCAACCGAAGAACAATTAAAGAACGTTCAACACAAAATTACGCGAAAAATAAACTGGTCAAAAACTAGGCAAACAATCTCCTAAAAATAACGCGGTAAATAATCTACAATCGCCTACATGTGTAGGCCTAAGAAAAGCTTCTATTTATGAATGGCACTGACGTCATAACTCCAGCTGACGTCTCTTACTTCCGGTGTTCTAGATATCGACGTTCTTTTTTATCTAGACTTAATAATTTCAGTAAAATAAACTGTGTTTCTAGGGTTTAAGTTTGATAAATTTATAACAGCGAACAATCACCTAAAAAAAGATTTACAGAAATATTTTTAAAGACTATCTCTGCTCGTGTATTGACCTTAGAGGACGGTTTACCGCAATTCGCAAAACAAATGAGTTCTTAATAATAAGTCTTAAAAGGGAATTAAAATATTCTAAAATTCTACTTTTAACGTTGCATATAAAATAGTGTGAATACTATTTTAAAAATATCTAAATATTAATTAATATTAATTGTTAATTAGGTGATTTTTCTATGTCAGTAAAAGAGTGCGCATTGGCGTAGTAAAACGGAGTTTGACGTTCGCGCGGTCTATTTTTTTCATATAAAAGCTCGGGTTTGTAATCGCTTAACAGATATTTCATATAAAACGTTAGGAAACGTCGTTATTTTATTTTGGACGAAGTATTAGCAATTAACAAACTAGGTAAGTTTAGTGTTTGTTTATTTCTTATTTTCGTGGTTATATGGAGATTTATATATCAATCAATGAGAATATTCTTTTTATTTTGTAAGTGAATGAACTGTATCTCAAGAGAGTTACAAATTGAATTGTTTTGAACAGGAAATGCACAACGAAATTCGTGCTGCCGTTGAATTGGTTATGTCATATTTATTTAATAAACTACCAAGGAGGAGAGTGGACATGTTTGGTGAAGAACTAGCGCGTCACCTGCTGTCTAAATTTTCCTCTCAATGGTATCCTGATAGACCTTTCAAAGGTTCTGCATTTCGTTGCTTGAAAGTTAACAACGATCCCGCTATAGTATCAGCAGCTACTGTATCAGGTCTGGATTTAACCGAATTACTCGCCTGTCTTCCAATTGATCTCAGCATCTGGGTGGATCCTGGCGAAGTATCTTATCAATTCCAAGGTAGTTCCGTTTCAGTCGTCTATAGTGAGCCTCTACAATTTAGTCAGCAAAACAATCCTGCTTTGCTTAAGCCAGTTGATGCTGCCCCGAATATCGGCCAGCCAATGACCGCGGCAATGTTCGCTCGTACAAAGTTCGGTTCTACAAAATTTAAAGCGGAAAGAGCATCCAGGTTATCTGCCAATGAATTGACAGCCTATGTTCGACAACAAGCTATTAGGAATGCCAGGGGACCCCGATATGAATGGTGGACTTCTCCTCTTCCTTTAACTGCAGCGCCATCTTAGAAAAAATCTACAAAACCTACTGCAATCCTCATCGACAACCTGCATTTTTTAACTTTTTGGGGCATGCCTAAATACATAGTATATACATATATATATATAAATATATATATATAAATGTATATACTATATGTATATGTATATATGTATAAATTTATATATACATATATAAATATTTACCGTTATTTATAATTGAATAATTATCTGATACAACGTTTCTTTACATTTAGAATAAAAAAACAAAACAAACCTTCTGCCAACCGACAGATGGCAGTGAAATTGAAATCTTATTTCGCTTTTATTTATTCCTTAAGGCAGTCGATTAATCGTAATTCTTTTCATTTTTCTCCTATTATACTTTCCTTGATTATTTATCATATAAGGAAATGCGATTATAGGTGAAAATTTTGTGTTATTAAGTGAAACATAAATAAATAAATAGGTGAAAAGTTACTCCACTGAAATCAAGTTATTTTGTGGCCATGAGAAGTAATTTACTAAAAACCCTTGACCTATCGACCAGTAATTGGGAGAGATAAGGGGTGAAGAGAAAACGATCGATGAACGACAGGTAGGAATCAATGACTCTGTACGCTTTCTCTTATATATTTATCATGAAACGTGCCTCGATGACGTCGGATCGGAACGCGCCCTGAACGCCGCCTATCGCTTCTAGTCCGACATTCTCAAACGAAGGAAGCGACAATATGTGTGCCGTCTAAAAATGGGTAATGCGAGCGGCCTAATGTGTCCGGGAATGCCGGCCTTTTTTATGCTCGTCAACGCCAAACGCACGAGACAGCGCCGTACTGACGTCATTGAGCATCCAATCACTCCGGAAGCGTCTCTCGTCTACGTTCCTTTAGCTGACGAACGTCTTGAGGCGTCAGTAACATCGACAACACCAACTTCTACGGACGAGAGTTTTCCAATGAATAACCCTGCATTTGCTGCTCCTCCTCCGTCTTATGCTAGTACAGAATTAACGGAAGAGGAAGAGTCTGTCATCGGTGCAACCCGTCCGTTATCACCTATCAGAGAGGATGCTGAAGAGGAAATTCCCAAGTCACCGAAAACGTCTAGTGATTCCGGTAAATTTGGTCGCTGGAAGAATAACATAAAAAAATTAAAAGTGAGCTCCCAATTTCTTTGAAATTATCTCTGACACACGTCCTGTTCTCTATATTGATTGCAGGCAATTTGCTGAGGCGGTTTTCTTTTATTGCCTCAATTCTTCGTTAATCTGTATGTCTTTCTTTTCCGGCAGAAAGTGGGAGAAAATTCACTGAAAGATTCCAATGGATCCTTACCTGATCATAATCCCTTTTACACCTCGATTGACAGTATGCCCGAGATTAGACCAAGAAAATCCGCTCCGCTGGTCACCGATCTGGTTCGTTTCATCTTTATTAGAGCCTATATAGTATATAGTACACCATCTAAATGAGAATTTTTCGGTACAATTTTCCAGGTTATACAGGTATATCTATTTAGATAGATTGAAATTTTATACGTTTTATAGATTTTTCGCATGTTCATTTCCATTGATTTTTTCAATCTCTGATTTGTTTCCGAACTAAAGCCCGATTTATCTAAACCAAACAAATTAGTCAAGTATATACTTTTATATAAACATAATTTTACATTTATATATATAAATATCTATCACATATACATTAAATATAGTATATTATGATATTAATATCATAAATATATATTTCCCTTATTTTCCATCCAACAGTTTAAATATATATATAAAAGTATATACAGTACAAACATAAATATATGTATATCTTTCTTTCTATTTAATTTCCTCTGTCTTGTTTATACATATATATATACTGGATATATGCGCATACCTATGCCATATACTGTATATGTATATATATATAAGAAAATGAGTATAAACCCTAGAATATACCATTATGATGTGTACACTATACATTTTCGATATTAAAATAAGAACTTCTCTCTAAACGAAGAGTACGTACTGTATGTATCAGCTTTTGCAAGTGCATTTAGTCGTGTTTCATAGACAGAAAAAAAAAATTAATATATCTATATAAACATATTGTTTATATGTATTTGTTTGTATAGATATGCTGTTTATATATATATCCACATATACAATGTATTAGTATATATTTTCCTCGGGATGGGAAAAGTATATACTAGAATATACGTGTATATATATATATAATTACAGACTTTCTTTATATATTTAGTAAACCTATCATATATGCATACAGAATGTACACTACCGATATAAAGGAGTATAGGATAGCTATAAACGAATTATACACGATCGCAATAAGTTCGATATCAGGAAAGATAGTCCATAAATAGGTAATTTTAATAGAGAGTATAGTGTCTACATCTATTTTTTAATGAAATATACGGTATGTATTTATAAATTTATACCCAAATATGTATGTTAGCCTATATATAAGATTATCGATTTTTCCTTTCACAATTTCCTCATATTTATTGCACGATCTGTTTCATAAAGGGATAGAAGAGTATACATTTTTATATAAATTATTAGATTACGTGCAAGAAAATTTATTCTTGCAACAAGCATTTATGCTAAGCCAATTAATAACTATAAATATTCATATATGCGCATATGCACATATTTCATTTGCATATATAAGAACAATTTTTTGGGTTGATAATTATAAAGAATTAAAGGAATTGCTTTTCTATATATATGTAATGCCGTTGTGTAAAAATACGAATAAAGTAAATATACTAACTTAGAGGAATTATTATTATATACATAAGGACATTATTTTATGAAACACACTACCTTCCGAATAGATAGAGGGTACTATAAATTATGTATTATGATTGCTATATGTTCACTAAAACATCCTTTGCAGACAATGCTTGCTGCGAAACGTAATTCGAATTTGCGTTCGACGTTCGCCGCCAGGGCATCTTTATTCGATGAGGAACTGGTGAGTGGTAAAATAATAGGGAAACGGGAGGGAAAATAAAAGGATAGCGAAGGGTTTTTGGGGGTTAAGAGTGATGAAAATATTTTGTGGTATGCGACAGCACGAGTAGCGGTTATCTGCATGTATAATTTTCTTCCACCACTCCGATTTATGTACCGGGAGCCAATTCGACGAATTAAGTCGGAGCGACTACAGGGAATTTGGTCGTTCTCTTTTCATATCGATTATACGAATAGGTCGACTAGAATATATTTCCGCCTTTTTCTCTAAACGCGCGCCTCGCTTAGCAACCTATTTTGATTTTTGTCGACACCTCAGCCGGAAATCGATTAAACATTTAGGAGGCGAGAAAAAATTACACATTGGACTTTTTTCGTATATTATTTTCTGTCGCATTTACATTATTCTACTCACATTACGCCCATTCCCTAACGGATGGTAGTAGTACCAATCTATGTGTTTACTCTCTTTTTCCTTTATATCTAAGCGTTATGAAATATAAATGTCGATTGTTTACAAAAACTCATTTCGTGATGTTTACGAAACGAAAGTAGACTTTGAGTAGTTTTTAACTCTTTACAAAACGCGATTAACGTCAGTGTCTCATCAGTACAAGAACGCGCTTGTAAACATTCAATAATGTATCAAAGATGACAAAGGAGCACGCGCTGTTACCTTGTACCTTTTGGAATACATATTTACACTGTAATGAATACTTGTATATACAGAAATCTCACGTCTACAAAAAGACGCTTCAAGCGTTAATCTATCCGATTTCATCTAGTACCCCGCATAACTTCCACATTTGGACAGCTACTTCTCCGACCTTTTGCTTCGAATGCGGTGGTTTGCTTTGGGGTTTGGCTAGGCAAGGGTTGCGTTGTAGCGAATGTAACGTCAAATGTCACGAACGATGTAAAGACCTTCTTAACGCCGATTGCCTCCAAAGAGCGGCCCAAAAGAGCTCGAAGCACGGCTGTGAAGATCGGACCCAGAATCTGATTACTGCAATGAAAGAGCGTATGGACGAAAGGGAACGCAACAATCCGGAAATATTTGAATTGATGCGGTATAGAAATTTAGAATAGAATTCTTTCTTCCTTTCTTCTTTAGTTTCTTTTCTATTGAGTATATTATATAGTTGATCAATGATCGTTGATCGTTTCGATTTGTATATACAGCAAATTGTTTGGTATGGATGAAAAAATTCATGTCGGCCACATGAAAGCTATCAAGCAAAATGTACTAGACGGAACTTCAAAGTGGTCTGCTAAAATTACTATCACAGGTAATTTTTAAAAAACTCGATTATAATTTTCTCTCCATTAGATTTATAAACATTTCCTTATTTTTTTTCCTGTTTTATAGTAATTAGCGCTCAAGGGCTAATTGGCAAGGACAAAACGGGAACAAGCGACCCCTATGTAACGGTTCAAGTTGGTAAGATAAGGAAGAGAACAAGGACTGTTGCTCAAAATTTAAATCCGATCTGGAACGAGAAGTTTTACTTGTTAGTTTTTTCAGCCTTTATGTATTTTCCTAATTTGCCTCTACTCTCTTTCCTTATTTACCTAATTTAATTCTCTTTACAAGGAAAAAAACAGAAAATACTGTTAACGATGTTTCTCACGTCTTCTTTTTTTATTTAATACTTTAGCGAATGCCATAACTCCTCAGACCGTATCAAGATACGAGTATGGTAATTTAATTAATCTTATTTACACGTTTAACGATAAATATACAATTAAGGTTATCATTTAGGGATGAAGATAATGATTTAAAATCGAAATTGAGGCAGAAATTAACAAGGGAATCGGATGATTTTCTGGGTCAGACTATAGTGGACGTTAGGACTTTATCGGGTGAAATGGATGTCTGGTATAATTTAGGTAGTTTTTCATTTTAGGGATATAAATGAAATAGATCCAGGCAATTTACGATGAATGAAAGAATGATGAAATTTTATTTTCCACAGAAAAACGGACGGATAAGTCGGCTGTATCCGGATCGATTCGTTTACAGTTGAGCGTTGCGATAAAAGGCGAAGAGAACGCGGCTCCATATCACGTCCAATACACGTGCCTTCATCAGAATCTCTTCCATTACCTGAATGAACTTAACTCTGGTGTCGTTCGTTTACCTAAAGCGAAAGGTGATGGTGCTTGGAAAATATACTTTGAGGAACCTGCTCAAGAGGTTATAGACGAATTTTCTATGAGATACGGAATCGAATCGATTTATCAAGCTATGACCCACTTCAGTTGCTTATCGACCAAGTACACGTCGACGGGCGTTCCAGCAGTTCTCTCGACGCTCTTGGCCCAAATTAACTCTTTTTACGTACACAATTCGGTTTCCGATCGTTTTGCCGCTTCTAATTTTGGTAAAGAAAAGTTCATAAAGCTTTTAGATCAATTACACAACTCCGTCCGAATTGACTTATCAGTTTATCGGAATACGTTTCCTGCATCCGACCGTGCGAGGCTAGCAGATTTGAAGTCTATAGTGGATCTCTTAACTTCCATCTCATTCTTCCGTCTTAAAGTCCAGCGTATAGCTCTTGCTGACAGAGCATCCGTAGTAGTTACAGAATGTGTCAAAGCTTGCGCAAAGTCTACATATCAATTCCTTTTCGATAATTGCTTTGATTTGTATCATCGAGAGAGGTCGGAGAGCGTAGAGGATGATGACGACAGCAAAAACGGCCCAAGCGGCAAAACTTTATTCTTCTGGAACAAATTAATATCTTTGATAGTAGCAGTTATCGAAGAAGATAGACAGGTTTACTCAAAAGCCGTTTGTCAGTTCCCACATGAATTAAACGTAGGTCAAGTATCGGCCAACGCGATTTGGCAACTATTCTCGCAGGATGTCAAATTTGCCCTCGAGCAGCACGTGATGGAGAATCAACCCTGCAAATCTAGCGACTACATGAACTTGCACTTTAAGGTTAAAGGACTTTTTTCAGTATATGTAGATCCAAATAATCAGTCTAAAACTGTATTGGACTACCCCTTGTGGTTCGAACCTTTCGTTCTTAAATGGTTAGATGAGAGTGAAGAAAATTCCACTGGTGTAGTCAGAGCGGCGTATCGAAGAGATAAGACAGAGGGATTTCAAAAAACATCGGATATTGTTCTCTTTTCCTGTTCTGTAACGGATATATTCACTCAGCTTAATCAGTGCTTTAGCGTAATCAACAAACTGGATTGCCCTCATCCCCAAGTCGAAGCGAGATATATGCGAAAATTTTCCCAAACCGTTTGCAAAGTTCTATTAGGATATACTCAATCTCTTAAAGCTGATTTTGACCATTTTGCCAATCAGCAGAGGGTTGCTTGTACATTAATCAATAACATACAGCAATTGAGAATACAATTAGAAAAGTTATTTGGCTTAATGGGCGGCGTTAATTTGGATGACAGCGTTAAGGCTTCCCTGACTAATTTGCAGCAATATCTGAATGGTGTTATTGACGAACTAGCTGTTAAATTTACCAGAACAATGCAAGGGGCTGTTGAAAAGTCGATAAGGGAGGTTGGAATAGAACTGGAAAAAGTTAAAGGATTAAAGGCCATGCGTACGCAAGCTCAACATGAAGTAGATGTTGTACTCAGACCCTTGATAGAAGTGCTGGACTCTTACTTATCGGCTTTTACTGATCTTTGTGAAAAGACTGTGTTCAAGAGGATATTGAAAGAGTTATGGAGGATTGTTGTATTCTCGCTAGAGAAAACAATCGTTCTCCCACCCGTCTCAGAGCCTAAGCAGGTAATTAGCTGAACAAGCTCTCATCTTTAAACACCATTTATTATTTAAACATCAAGTTATTAAGCTTGTCGATCAATTTTACAGAATTTCCCCACCCCGTCAAACGCTCAAACAAAATTAGAAGATGTCTCTCGCTCTATTATACGCAATGTCACTCAACAGGCGTCCAGAATGTCTATATCCATTATTCAGGTTAATTGAAACACATAGCACCTCTAATAGCGATAATTTTTCCTTATCTTCTCAGGAATTGGCGGCTGACTTCCAAAATACCTTATCCCCGAAGCAGTGTTCCGTTGTAGAAATGGCTCTGAAAACTGTAAAGGATTACTTTCACGCGAATGGACAAGGTCTTAAGAAGACCTTTCTGGAAAAATCCCCAGAATTGAAGTCTTTAAAATACGCTCTCAGCCTGTACTCCCAAACTACCGACGCGTTATTGAAAACTTTCGTTGCTACTCAGGCCAATCAGGTTTTAATACGCGAAGAAGAAGAGGAAGAGGAATTAATGGGTGAAATTTCTATCCATATCGACCTTCTAACACATCCAGGAACGGGGGAAAGGAAGGTAGCCATTAAAGTTGTTGCAGCTAACGGTCTGAAGTGGAGATCATCCGGTGTGTTTAAACCTTTCGTTCAGATTAACCTAATTGGGCCTTTTCTATCGAACAAAAGGCGTAAGGTAGCTACAAAGAGTAAAGCAAATTGTTGGACACCTAAATTTGATGAAAAATTTCACTTGTAAGTCTATCTATTTCTCTTCAATGTTTAATAGGCCTAATTAACGTTACATATTTATAAAGCGTCGTCGGTAATGAAGAGGATTTAGAATCGTACGAACTGCAGATTACTGTAAAAGACTATTGTTTTGCAAGGGAAGATCGGATTATTGGAGTTGGTGTTTTACAATTAAAAGATATAGTTGAACAAGGCTCCTGCGCTCTGTGGTGTTCCCTAGGTAGAAGAATATCACTAAACGATACCGGTTGGACAATTTTACGAATTCTAGCACAGAGAACTAGCGACGAAGTGGCTCAGGAAATAGTAAAGTTAAAAACTGAAATAAGACATAGTGAAGAAATAACTTAGATGCGCCATCTTTCGTTGTAAACCTGCATAAGAAAAACAAACTACATGCATTATAAAAAATAAAAAATACTGCATGTTTTGTTTTTTTATTAGTTTTTTTTTACCTGAGGTAGCTAGCTAATTAAATCTTTTCCTCAACCTTTTATGCAAAAAATGCTTAATTCATTGAAGTAATTTGGTGCTATCTGTTGTTTTCTTACCATTTATTTTATTTGAAATATATTTCTTCTTTACTTAATTATTTTTTTTCCTTCATTATCTTTAATATATATATATATATTTCTCTTTTCTTTACCTTTCTCATATTGCAAACTGGAGTTATTTTTGGTTAAAAACCGATAATAAACCATAATAAAAAAGCCATGAATAAACGTTTCATATTACGGGTTTGTTTGAAGCTAATTTAATAGCCTGTACTTTACCAACAGAAACTTTTACATCCATTATGACTTATTGTTTTCGACCGTGCAAAAGATTCGTTCAATGTAAAGACCCATATATTTTACAGTATACTTTTAAAGTTTATTAGTAGAATATTAGCTACTAATCTTCAAACGCTAATAAACTACAATCATCCATTAACAATATCTACAGAATTTTATAGTAGTTTCATTGATCAACTGTTTTTTTTTATTAGACTACAATAATTGATTGATAATTACTTTTATCAAAAAGAGAAAAAAAAAGCCCTTTTTAAAGTGTACTCCTAGTGGGAGGAGTAAAAAAAGTGGCCTCCTACGTCGTCAGTGTAATTAAATTTCCGTTGGAAAATTTGTATAAAAAGAAAAAAGAAAACTGGAGCGCCGATGAGGAAAGGAACCAACAAAAAATTTTTAGATTTGATAAACTAAAATATTCAAATAAGGAGTAACTACAAAGTTCAACTTAGCTACCCAATTCATCTCTTAAAGTACCTTTTATATTGACTTTCTTCTCGTCCAATGACACTTCTATTGTCGAAATGAAAGAAAAAACTCTTGGGAGAAAATTATTGAAGAATTTTTTATTGGAAGATAAAAATAACACCATAGAAATGGAATATAATTTAAAGAGATTCATTATTTTCCTCCTTTGTGTTTCTTTCCTCGATGTCCATGAAACCAATACGTTGCTAGGTGCTAAGGGGAAGGGGGCAAAACCTTATTAATTAGTCCTTAATATAATGTTTAAAAGAGCTACAAACGCATACCAAGGCTAATTTGATTAGGGAAGAAAAGCTTGGTTGGCCTGCGATCAATGGATTTCTCTTTATTTTCATTAAATCAAGTTCCTTGTCTTTTAAATATTTTCTTAAGAAATTATTCTACTTTACTAAAATAAACTGGTTAAACTGATAAAGATTATCTAAACCATTGAAAAAATTACTCATTTTCTTAACAGCAGTCATTGATTACTTCAAATTCGACTCTCTCTCTCTCTCTCTCTCTCTATCTCTCTATTCTTCCTTTCGTTCTTTCCCTGATTCTTTCTATCTTCAGCTCTAACTAACACAGTAGAAACAAGCTAATTTCTTTTTTGTGAAATACCCTTCGCCTTGATTAATATTGATTTGTTTCAATAGCCATTCAAGTTGTTTCCTCATGAAAGATATAGAGCCACTAATGGCGGTTGTATTTTTTTTATTCACCATAGAATGGGCAAGTAAATTTGTATTAAACTTTTAAATAGGGTAGTTATCACTATTTAGCTTGGTAATCTAATAGAAATATGCGATAATAGATTATTAATAGAACGCTGAATTATCATTTTTCTCATGTAGTTGCGTGCATTCTTATATAGACATTATATATACTTCTTTCTTTTTTCATTTAGCTTCATTTCTGTAATTTTATACTTTATTCCTTTTGAACTTTTCTCGTATTACAGTTAAAACGAAAGCTGGAAAAGACTAAATGAAATCAGCGAGAAAGGTTTATACATTTTATATTGTAAACTCGTACATTTTAAATAACAACTATAAAATTTGTTTGCAATAGATAGGTTTACTCAGCTTAAACTGAAACGTAAACTATAGAACCAGAAATTCTAGGGTAAATTGTAAGGTAGATGGCGTTACGGTTGAATCGTGATGAATCTAAATGATGGCTATCTGATAGTATAATTGGCAAAAATTATGTTATTATATCTTGTAGTTAAAGAATAAATATGACTTAATAACTCTTAAAATTGGAATAATTCTGACATATAAAATATTGAAAACGTTATGAATACACCTAATTAATATTAATTTATATAATTTGATTATTTCATGTCTGTCTAAAGTTCTGTAGACGAATTTTTGTTTTATCATCATATTTGAGGTTAGGGAAAAATTAAAAATACGTTGATCCCTAGCAAATTCATCATCCTGGTATAAGAAGTTGGATAGGATTGATGTATTTCTTAGAAAATCTAAAATTCCAGCAGTATATCTGTGATTAATCTACGCCGGCTTTCGACGAAGTTAAAGAAAACTTAATGAAAAGACTATATACAGAGAGTATCCTGATTTCAGAAGGCCGTAGATTCATTTACAAAATGAATTATGAAAAAAAAAAGAAGAGAGGAGAGAGAAAAAAAACGAACAACCTCTTTCTATTTCTCCTTTGAGCCTTAAAGACTATAGCAAAAGAAAAGGCTAAAAATTTTATGTTTTTTT